CACACACACACACACACACACACACACACACACACACACACACACACACACACACACACACACACACACACACACACACACAAACACACACACTCAGTTTAAGCCCTGATACACCCACCCCAGCTTGTTCCACTTATAAAACATCTCAACTGGTCTCCAATCAGGTAAATCTAGGTATAAATAATACGTGTGTGTGTGTGTGTGTGTGTGTGTGTGTGTGTGTGTGTGTGTGTGTGTGTGTGTGTGTGTGTGTGTGTGAGAGAGAGTGCAGGGAAGGTCAGTAAAATCCTGCCGACCTTTCAGCGCACTGGCTGGCGCCATGCCACCCCAAACAGTTGTTCCACTGTTAACCCCCGCACCGCCAGCTAAGGTTACAGGCAGAATACCACCGGTTATTATCACATGACCCAGCAGGCTGCACTGCGGCAGAACCTGGAGACAAATGGAATGGCATGATGGGACAACTGGGTTCGATGATGATATGTAGGTTAAACGTTGTTAACCTACATATCATCACACAATGTTACAGCACCTCTGACTCCTCTGAGGGTCCCCGCTTGTTCACATGGGACTGTTACAGGATCAATACCTACAGTATATTTAATGCTGATCTGAAATTAACATTAAGATCAATTCATATATAACAATATATTGTCTATAAATCTTACTGTTTAACACCCTTGTTTTGCAATCAGCACATAAAAAGACTGTTACAAAAGACGTTATCTAACTAATCTCTGATTAATCCTCATCAGCCGTGTGATAATGTACATTATCAGAGGACGGGGCAAACACCTGACTCGTTCCCACACGTCTGACGGTGGGACGGGGTCGGCACTGTTTTGTTTTCCTTGATCATTTCACACTGATCCAGGCTCATTAGAGACATTCCTCGCTCTGAAAATATACAGCCGACTTCTGAGGGGAGAAAATTATTAGATACACAAGCGTCCAGCCCCCCCGAGATAAACACAGGCTCTTTATCCACATCACAACAGAAGTGATCGAAATAGAAAAAGATCATATTTAGCAAGACTGATGTTTGTGACGAGTCTGTTGTTAGGTCACGATGCTGCGATGAAGCTAAAGATCAAACGCAAAGTAGAGTTGATGTGTGTTTAGTGATAGTGACACAAACATCCTCGGACACCGCAACAGCGACGTCTGGTGACACAGTCAGTGAAGTTCACGTGAACTTTACAGAAACTCACATGACTGTTGAACTGCACAGTGACTGTGTGTGCAACTCTGCCACCTGCTGTTCAGTCTGGATTTATTATGGATTTATAAATTATTTCCAAGGTGAGTTTTTGAGGAACAAAATTCTTACTATGAAACCATTAAGAACCATTTAAGAAAAGTCTAAAAATGTGGCGTTGTCTCTTAACTACTGCATTTTTCAGTCTGTTCTGCTGATTACCGACAAATCTCCTTAAGCCTCGTTCACACAACACGATTTTTAACCCAGTTTTTGCAGTATGGACTCACAACTGCAAGATTCTGATCACACGAGAATAGGTTGTGTCGTCTGAACTTTGCACCAGCATCACAAAACCACCGGGCCTTATTTCCACTGTCCCACTGTCTGATGGGATAATTCTGAAGATTTTACCTGTTTGATCTTGTTGGTTATGACCGAGGGGAGTTTGACTCGCAGCTGCTCCGTCTCCTTATAGGACGCCGGGAAGCCGCTCAGATAAGCCAGAGTCTGCATGCGGATCAGACCTGGAGCTTCTTTATCTGTCGTCTGCAAAACGCACAACAAAGAAAAAAACACTTCAATATTTCATCTGGGATGGAGGGGGGGGGGGGTTATGTTATGTAACAGTGATGAACTCACCAGGTAACATCTGGACACAGTGAATTTCTGCTCTTCTCTGGACACATCTGTAAAGGCTTTATCAGCTGTAAAACAACAAACAGCAGCAGCAGGAAGTTAATAAACACAGTCAGATGTGATAACAGATTTCTCGTCACCACTCAGACTGGTGAGTTTCAATGTGTGTAAACTGCAGGACAGAGTAAACACTTTCCAGACACATCATCGTTACCGTCGACGGAGAAACATCAGAGGCTCAGTCACCAATAACATTCACACTCGTCAATAATGAGTTGATAATGTGACATTACTATATATATGTGAACTATATTACATATTTCTATATTAAGCCCCTCTACAGTGTGTGATGATTAAGTCTTTAGATGGAACACAAACCCATGTGTCTTCAAAAAAAACAAAATCACAATGTTCCACATCGGCTATTTTCTGATGGTGAATTCTCCTCCATCAACGGGAATCAGAAGGCTTCTGAAATCTTGTCTCTCGCCCACAGATTCTACATATTCACATGCAGAGTCTGTTCGTAGAGATAGGTAATGTGTGTCACTTTAGTTTTTTTATTCCTCTCCCTCCATCATTTCAAAGAACGCTCTGATCTCATTCAAGCATTTCTGAATTCTCTTGTGTGTGTTTTTACCGTCGGCCTGCGAGTGAAAGATAACCACAGAGACGATGGAGGGCAGGTGGAAGGGTTTAGTCATGAGCTGCAGCTCTTTGGCGGCGGAGAAGGAGGCGGAGAGCGACGGCAGCTCTTTGAGGGAGACGTTGGCCGGCAGAGCGGGGTCCAGGGCCAGCATGGGCGCCAGGATGCAGTGGGACAGGAGACATTCTGGCTTGACACTGAAAACAAACAGAAATAAATAACATGCACCTTGTACTCCAACTAAGTTTGTGGTTTTAGACTGAAAAACAGTTGTGCATGAAAAAGGTCAAGTTCACACATTCTGCAAACGGTTTCCTTTGTGGAAACGTTGCATGGAGCCCCTCTTTGCATCTTCAGTTGAAACAATAAAACGAGGGGGAGGCAGCTCATCAGCTCAACGCAGGAAACATCTTCACTCATGTTAAATGTTAATGATTCTGTTTGAGCTTAAACATTCTCACGCAAAGTTTTTTTTAATTCTAGCCGATACATAAACATGCAAAACAAAAACATGCAACACCTTCCATTAATTGTAGAAACTCTTATATCTTCACGAGGTAAATTTTTTAATTTGCAGCACGCAAAAGGTTAAACTACAAAAACAATCTGTTACTCTTAACTAACTGACGTCCAAACAGTTTACCCTGTTGAATTTATTTACGGTAAAACCTGAGTCGACTTCCTGTTTCAAGATTAAAGTCAGGGTTCACACATGTGGTTTCATCATTGCTTTAACTGTCACTTCAAACCACTTGTGTGAGAGACTTCTGAGAAGTTTTGCCGACCTCATTAACCAGCAGGAGGGGAGAGGTTGAAAAACAGATATTCAGTGCAGTGAAGTGGAGTCAAGAAAAGAACGCACGACTAACTGCAACCTCAGAAATAAGAATACAACAAATCTAAAACTAAGAGCTCTCAGAAAAGGAGGTTTATGGTTAAATTTGTGGCAGAGCTGTTGTGCTCGACTGAATCTGATTCTACAGATGTAAAAAATAAAGCGGTCAGCGAGTGTGTGTGTATAACACACACAGTATTACAAAGAGTTGAAATGAATAATGATTGTAACTGTGTTTGTACTTTTAGCAAACACTTAACACATTGTGTGAGAACAGAAAACTTAACCTCACCTGTCTTTTGGCACTTCAGTTGTCTCACTTGCATTTTTGCCCAGACGTTCCCTACAAGCAACAAATTCAATTCATATGGTTTTCATGACATTGTGTTAACAGACACTGTGAAGCAGAGCGTCGGTCGAGGCAGATAAAAAAAAAAAAAAAAAAAGAGCAACTGCAACATTTCAAAACATGTTTTTCACAAGAGAAGGAACTTCTCCTCAGACGTGTTCTACCTTCGACCTCTGAGTGAAGATGATAATACATGCTTGTATGTTAATTCCCACTGTATTCAGGTGGAAAACTCAAAGTCACATGAGTGTGTCTGCAGCCTATTGTTTCATGTACTGCAGTTTAAAAACATAAAGGTTTATATTTAACTGTAATCACAGGTTGCACCCTGCAGTGTTTCTGCATAACCGTCACTTCAGCATTGCAACAGCTCAGACTGTGGAGCCGCAGCTACCTCAGAGCTCTTTGTTCCTCCTCCAGTTGCTCTTTGACCGTCTTCAGCTCCTTCAGCAGAGCCGTGTCTGTGCCGTTCACCCATGTGTACACCACGTCGATAGGCATGGGCAGACAGAGCCTGAAACACAGAGACACTCGTGTCACTCAGACTCAAACTGCAGAGCTGTGACCCCGTTTCCCTCCTCCACAGTAAACACTGTCCTCGGGCCAGTCAGCATTAGTTGGTGTTCACGCGTGGTTGCGCCTCGTCCTGTTCAAGAGAGCGGTGCGAATGGTCTAGAGAGGCATGAAGACGGGTTTGTGCAGAATTTAGCCTCATGATTTGCACACTTTTGCAAAAGAATAATTATCAGAGCCTGACCAATCAGCCGCTATGAGCCGATGTAAAGAACATTTTTCATTGATGTTTTATATAGTTGGTTGTATTTGAATTTAACTTATTGATAATCACAAAAAAGTTTATGTTTAAAAGGAAAAAGACAACATCAAGCATTAATCACATTTCTTTGCCAAACACATATTTGGAATTATTGACAATTTGGCCAGAATATCAGTTTTACTCCCATCATCATCATCATCACCTGCAACGAGGAGGTTATGGATCTTATAATAAAATCATATATTCAGGGTATTATTATTCACTGATATCTATGAATGTTGGGGAGCTGTGTGCTCGACTGACTCTCGTCATGAGTTTATCTCTCCCGAACAAAACCCAAGAAGGTGTGAAACCTCTCGTTACGACTGCAGCAACAAACACAACAGTCTGTTCTGAACTTTCTCGTTTGAGTGAGTCAGGGAGTGGCACAGTTGTGGAATTCGTTGGGAAACGCAAAGTGTCCTCACCTGCTCTGGAAGGATTTTCCACCCACATTGTCTCTGTAGGAGTCAAACAGAACATGATACTGGTCTCGACTCCACTCAACCACCACCTGTATGAAGAGAGGAGACATGACACAATCGACACAACACAATCTGAACAGCTTTTCCTCACATACTCACACGTGTCCCTAAATACAAACGATGAACCAACAAGGTGGATGACTCTTCAAAATGAACTGTTCTTGTGGGGGGTTTATTATGAGGCCGAATTTGCAGGAGTACTTTAAAGATTAATGAACCGTCTCGATTAAAGGTGAAAGGTTTGGTAAGTGGGCTCGAGAGGTTGTTTACTTTTTAAAAAAAAGAGGATTTTGAACCGGAGTCTGGTGGGAACAGCAGGAGGAGGAGGCTCGGCCGGAGCTGCACCGAGGACATTCCGCGGGTTAGCGGGCGTTAGCGACAGGCGGCCCGGGGGGAGACGACAGGCGGCCCGGGGGGAGAAGAAGTCAAGAGGGAGCTCACCTCTCCGAACTGGAAGGCGGAAACGATCATGAGGACGATGCCTCCGAAGCAGAGGTAGAGTCCGTAGCGGTGCGACAGACACGTGTACGTCTGCCTCTGGACGAGCTTCAGCACCGAGTTGACGACTACCATGATGCCCCGCGGCGACGCATAGCGCTGCATTCATTCAGAGAAACGCGACCATCGCGGTAAAAAAGTAAACATCACGCAGCAGAGCCGGATCTGTCAGCTGACCCGCTGCCGCCTCGGTCACATGACCGCCGACCACCGGGGCCTGACACCGCCCCCCTCGCTGCTTCGCTGCAGCACGTTGTCGCCCTCTGCCGGTGGGGAGGAAGACTACCTCCCCTCCCCCAATTTGAGGCGAGGGGGGGGGGAGGGGGGGGGGGGCATCGAACCGACGACCTGCTCCGTCAGAAAGACCCGGATGAGCACGGTAAGCGCACGGAGGCCCAGAGAGCTCGACGCACAGCAAATTAAAAGAACAAATAAAGAGAAACAACTTCGTCACAACACAAGTAAAAACTACGAGGAAACACATGCATCAGCTTTATTTTGGCTCCATTTTTGGACAAGTGGAGACACGTCGTCCATTTTTATTTACAGTCTATGGTTCAAGGGCCAAAACAGTCCCCCTGCTCCCCGTCAGTATTGGCCACAAGGGGCCAGAAGAGGAGACGTCCGTCACAATACTAACATAATATCACATATATTATCACCCTGTGAAGTTCTTCACACATTGAGCAGATCCAAAGAAGCAATATCATGTATTTAAAGTCACTTCAACACAACATATAGTTGTACTTCCATTGCTAAATACATATTCTAAACTCAATGTTCACTTACTTTGGTTGTCGTCAGAGTTTTCAAATCTATTTCAAGAGGAACTTGTGCAGGTGTCCCCACATGATTGAGATAGGGTTTCTGGCATGTGGATGACTTCCTTAATCTCTCTGGTGCCGTCAGCTGACTCTTTTGTTGTTACTATTTTTTTAATGTTTGCGTCACATAAAATAAATGTGTTCCCTGACACCAAGAATGAAACTCTGGGTTATGCAGTTATTATGATAAATGCAGTGGAATTTTAACAATGCAACATTCAACTGTCGGTTAACTGTGAGTTTCCCTGAGTCGGTTTCCACCTCAGCTGAGTCAGCAGCTCAACTCCAGTGGTGGAAAACTTAACCTGATTTACCCAAGAATTTAAAACATGCAAGAACATATACTCCAGGACTGTATCACTAGCTGAGGGCATTTTAAAACCGTGAAATTGTTTGTGGTAATTTGATTGGTTGCAAATTAGTTGGGAAAAGTACACAAATTAGGTTTGATATAAATTGAACTTTAAAGGGTCATAAGGCATTTCCTGCTTCTTTACCACATGACCATATCCTGTTGAAGGGCCCTGTGTCAAATCTTTATTTTTTTATTAATGTTTGTCCAGCATTTTATGGCACATGTGTGGCAACGGACCAAACCAAGTTACTTCAAATATTCCTGTTCTGGCTGGATTGTGGATAAATGGAGTGAGAGTCTGGTAGAGGTAGGTTTTAATTTCCATTTATCTCTCTTTTACCAGGATTACTCAAAACTGGACCAATGTTCATGAACTATTTTATATTTTCTATGAACTATGAATCATGATGAGATACAACCTCAGCCCTGTTGGAGGTGTGCACTCTCCGAGCAGCCGTGACAAAGGATCACATGTTTGGGAAACTGTTCCAAACTCAATTGAAACCAAAGACTTTACAACGAGTTCTGACTTTTGTACTTTTACCTAAAATTAAAAATGTAAATATGTGACTCACGTATAGACTATTTGTTCCTCCACCGCTGTTACACACTTTCATTTCCTCTCATTTGGATTACTGTTACTCCTCACACGCATGAGTCGTAAGAGTTTGCGAAAGTTTGTCTAAAAGGCAGCTCATGACTCCCATTTTAGCTTCTCTCCATCGAGTTCAACTTAGAAATGATTTTAAGATGTTACTAACTTTGAATGCCTGTTCTGGACGTAGATTCCAGATGTCCTAACACCATAAGAGCCTGGTCCTAGCTGGAGGCCTTGATTGCAGAGGGGACAGGGCTCTTTCTGTTAGGGGCCCCCACTTTCTGGAACAATCTCCTTCTATAGATCTAACTTAACAAGTGAAGTTATTATTTTTAGTATTATTCTTATCACTGATCATATCCTGGCTCACCGATCATTTACATCTTAAAATGCTTTCATTCTTTTTATTTTACTTTTTTCTGCCCTAAAACTGTGAAATTCGTCAACGTGGTTTAAACACTTCCCTATCATTTGACTTCATTTCTCCATCATTATCGTGAAAAGCACCTTTTGACTGTATTTGTAGATGAACACTTCCCCTGTTGACGGTCCTTACTGACTCTGACATCATACATATTCAACTGAAATTGTTGAAGGAGTGAAGAAAGACAGAGGGAAGAAGGAGGAGAGGAGGAGGAGATCTGTGGATGAAACGGGTGGTTTATTCGCGAAACGCCAGCCCACTGGGAGTCATTTTGGGGAAGAGGTCACTGAAGCTATACTGTTGATCAGTTTATTGGAAAGAGGCTGAGCTCACTCTGGTGCAGACAATCATCACCATGTGACTGTCGAGAACAGACTTGAACAGAAGAGAGGCGCAGAACCTGATCCATGCGTCTGGATCAGCAGCATCAGACGTGGATTTCTCCTCCTCCTCCTCCTCCTCCTCCTCCTCCTGCTCCTCTTGCAGAGGTGGTAACACAGTTTATCGGAAGTTACCCGAAATAAACCTGCCTGACATGTTTTGGTTCGAGCAAGGTCTGTGCTTCTTGCCAGCGTTTCTGGTCGTCTGGTCCTCCTCCACCTTCATCGTTTCCTACCTGATCGCGATTTGCAGACACGACGTCGATGTAATCTTCCCATACATCAGGTAAGATTTATACGCACATGAAACCCCAGATATAAGTTTAACAAGTGAAATCTGAGATCTGCAGCACACGTGTGGAGGTTTTTATGTTCAAGTTAACCAGACAACGATGGTGAAAAGTTTAGTTTCGTTTTCCTCGTGCTTGAAACCTGGCTGGTACCCAAACTCCAGCTGCGCAGAGGCAGCTGTGCAGCTTCATACCTCCTCTTTCACTTCCCCCTTTAAATTGTGTTCTTGCATTTTGACAAATTTAAAGTTTGAAAGTCATGATTTGTTCTGTGTTTAGTTAAATTAAGACATACATGATCTCTATGAGCTTTATTGTTAAGGTTGAGGGGAGAGAAGAGTTGGAGATGACGAGTGTTTCCCTTTTCAGTGACACAGGTGCAGAACCCCCTGAGAGCTGCATTTTTGGCCTGATGACATTCATCTCTGCCTGTGCAGGTATTTTCTCTTCCCTTTATTATAAGTTTAAACTTGTGCACTCTAACCCAGCTTTGTTTATTAAGCAACGCTGGGTTTTCCAGAAGGAAGAAATAAACTCTCCAGAGATGTCAGTCGCATTTCCCCTTTTCAAGAAAATGAAAGCTGAATTTAGGGCTTGGGATGCCACAAGGGAGGGCGGGGGGTGTGCTTCTTTTTTTTTTTCTTCCTTTGTGGTAAATGCACAATCAGACCTTTTCCTGTGCAGGAGTATCCACCATTTACGCCAGATACAAGTTTGTGGAGAAGCTGGGTCAGGAAACAGGCGTGGCGAGGACGTGTCTCAATAGAACTGGTCTGGTGCTTGGGATGCTCTCCTGTCTGAGCATGTGCATCGTTGCGACCTTTCAGGTATGTGTTAACATGTGTGTAATGCACAACATAAGTATAATGTAATGAAACCTCTAATAGTACCTGTCTTGTTTTTGTTTGCAGGAAACAACACTGATAATTGTTCATGATGCAGGAGCTTTGCTGTTCTTCTCGTCCGGCGTCTTATACATAATCCTCCAGTCGGTCATTTCATATCAGACCTATCCGTTCGGATCCTCCTCCTGCCTCTATCGAGTACGTTCGGGCATCGCCATCCTTGCTGCGCTGGCGTTTTTCCCCAGTATCCTTCCACTGAAGTCAAAGCTGAGAAGATGCTCTGGCTCCTCTCGATGTTCTCCTGTCACTTATCATTGCCAGTAGATGTGTGTGATGCTTCTTCAGGTGCCAGTCGGTGTCGCTGGATTTTTCCTTAGTGGATAATTCAGCTGCCATCTGTGCGTATTTTGTGAAGCAGAGCAAGCTGCACAGAGACACAGACGACAAGGTGAGCTGCACCTGGTGTTAACATCCAACCTGAGAGATCTGGAGTGGACAGCTCTTCAGATCAGTCACCAATAATCCAACGTCCGAGTGTGAACATCCCACAGTTCTTTATGAAATTGTAGCAGGTCAAAGGTCGTCAGCTAAAGAGGCTTTTAAATACGGCCCACACAGCTGAGAGAACGAGGACGTACCGCCTCAGAATGTGTCTCTGTCCTGATCGGATCTGAAATGCTCCCTCCATGTGTTCACACCTGAACTTAGAGCTGACCACTTGTGATCAGATCACTCAGGACGGATGTTGTACCAGATCTCCATCAGTATTACCTTCCTTCACAAAGCAGGTTCTGTTTTCACCCCTGTACATTTGTTTGTTGGTTGGTTGGGGGCAGATCCAGTATTAGTTTCCCCTACCTTCCTTAACATTGTGAGACAGGACGTTTTTCAACATTTAAGGAAGGAAATATTTCAGGCATCTTGATGAGAAATCAGGCACATTCAGTGATATCTGATATCTAGGAGGGTGTTAAATTTGCTGCAGCTTGATTGAATTTAAGGGGCGTGTTGGGCCGGGGTGGAGGGATGCACTCTAGATTGAAGCTGAAACAATAATAGAGAGTTCTTTCTTGGCCCATTTCCATCCTTCCACCAAGTTTCATGGAAATCCATTTAGCAGTTTTTGTGCAATCCTGCTGACAACAAACAAACAAACTAATGGACAGGGGAGGAAACACAACAGACCTCTGCATGTTGAGAATTCACTGCTGCTTTTCTTCTAAACTGAATTTTTCAAGGTCTTGGACTCAGATGTGAGAGGCAATCTTGTGTTAACTATGACTTTAGTTAGATTACCTGATGATGAATGTAGTTAGTAGTTGTCGCACTCCATCACTTTCCCTGTGGACGACCTCTCTTCCAGGACTATCCTTTCCATCTGGCCAGCGCTGTGTGTGAGTGGATCGTTGCCTTCAGCTTCATCTGCTTCTTCTACACGTACATCGACGATTTCAAAGTGAGTTTCTGACCAGTAAACACGAGGTCAATTCTTTTTTTATTTACTGGAAATGAGTCTCATTTCTCTTTCTTTTACTTCCTGCAGCTTTTTACTCTACGTGTGAAAACAGAGCTGAAGGAGTCGTCTTGATCTACAGCTGAATGTCAGTATTTACGCGGCTCTTTTATGCTGATTTATTTTTGTACACAACATCATAGGATGAGTTCAGGTTCATTTTGACAGATTCTGTGTTTAAGCCAAAAAGAACCGACCACAGCCTGATTCTTTCTACTATTTATATGTCAGCAAATTATATTACAAGTGTACTCATTGCCGCCTGTGTACACACGACCGTCACTTTGCACTTTGTACTCGACTCCTGCCACACCACTTCCCGGAGCTGTGACCACCAATATAAGAAGTCGTCATCGTGCTGTGATCACATGACCGCTGCCCGTGTGATTTAATCCAAATCAAACCAACGATACTGTATGTATATGGAGGTGCTCTTTTTATAATGTACACTGAGAAATTGATGTTATTCAAATGCTGCCAGCTCTTCAATAGAACTTATTTTGTAATTGTAGTATTCTGTATGTATTTTCCAGTTGTGTCTTCCTCGCATCACTGTACTGTCGTGACAACCATATAGGGAGAAAGTCTCTCTCAGTGGAAGCTCAGGTTCAGAGTTTGTGTACTGACTGTACACTGTGATCATATGGTGCAGCTATGGACGTTACTGTGCACGTGTCCACATCCTGTAATCGTGGGAATCAAGCTGCTTAACAGAGGAGAATTAGACCATTTAATTCATTAGGTTCCGCAATGAAACTGACAAATCTAACTCAACTCAACATAAACAGGAAGTTGTTTCTTCGATGTGCTATCAGTCTCATAGTATGCATAGTGCTTCCTTTTCACACTAAATTTAGGTCTCTAAATAATGCAACTCATGAGTTACATTTTGTTTCCTGTCTTTTAAGTGAAGATTTTTCTACATTATGAAGCCCCGGGTTGGAAACCAGTGCCCTAGAGCATAACAGCATTATATTTTTATTGACATAAGTAAACCCACCAAATTCTAATCAGTTCATCTTTGAGTCAAACTGAAAGTTTTTATTTCCTCTGGTTTTTGATCTCCTCGAGTCGTGTTTACAAGGATGGGACGGACAACCCAAAAACCCGATGCCTGTGGTCACTGCTGGGCTCAAGGACAGAGGCTATTCAATTAATAGGTATATATATATTGAAAGATAAAATATTAGGTTAAACCTGAGTATTGGCTGAGAGACTTTTTATAGTGTTAAGATCCCGACTAGAACTGGTTGTAAAACTTTCTTTTCACAAATAGAACTCCAAAGAAACAGATCACGTGCTGTAAATGGACTTAATGGCGGTCACACGAACACAGATTAACGTTTTCCACAACAGATTCTGTATTTACAAGGGAAATGTTTGTTTTTTTATTCAATTACTTTAGCATTTTTTGCTTGTGACATAATATACTGCACATATCATTATGTCCTGTTGAGCTGAATAATAAGATAATAGTAAGAGAAATGATGCACTTCAAATTGTATGAGTGTTTAATCACAGATGCAACGATTCTTTCTCTTGTAACCAAAGTGCTTTTTCTACACTATAGTGTAATGTCCATTCATAGAAATCTTATCAAAAGACAATAAAAGTATTTAGTGCTAAAACATTCTTGGCACTTTCTCTACATTTCCGATCATTTGTACACAAGCTACGAGAAATGCTGTGAGTCAAACACAAGAAGAATTTTGTTTACATTTTCTGACAGACGCTGTTGTCACTCAGTAAAGGTCAGTGTGCAGTAAACCCATTCCTGGCTCGAGAGGCATTTCAAGGGCAACATGTTAGTTGTGGAGCTCTTTTTCAACATGGTCACTTTCTATGCTGCAGTAAATAAGGGTATAACACTTGAAACACATTATTCTTCTGTGTGCTGGGGTGAGAAATGAATTGTTTGGTTACTTGCTGCTCATGCACTGGTTTAGAGAATCAAGTGTTTGCGAGCAGTCGTGATTCCAGACAAAAATGCTGATGTGACTGATGCCAAACCAAAACTTACCGAGCAGGTTTTTCGATAACAGAAGATTGATACTGGAACATTATTGTGAGTTTTTCTCTCCCTGACATTAACTCAGAGATTCACAATACAAAGTTTAAAAGAGACATCGGATGCTTTTTTTCTTCCTCTTGTGCGTTAGAATGGGTTTTTGTTTTTGTAAACGTTCTGCAAAGTTAAAAAAAGTAAAAGGACGAAATGGGCAGTGATGTGGTTTTCTGAGCATTAGAGCATGAATATGAGCAGAATATGTCTCCTGTAATCACTCAAATATCCAACATGTGTTTTTAAATTTGATCTGGACCCTGTAACATAAAGAACAAGAGCTGTCAGGTGACGAGTGACGTCAGTATGAGAAAACCTGCAGTACAACTACTCCTTGAAAAACTACTTGCTACTAGGACTACAGGGTTTTTTATCAAAGAGGGAAATTATTCTCTCTTATTTGAAAACAATTGTTAATCAAAAATGCTAATGACGAATCAAACCACGTATCGAGAAGGTCTTACTGACCAACGACCGAACCCTTCCAGTTCATTCAGACTGAAATTACAATCACTCTGGACACATTTCCAGGCACCGACATCTGCACCTTCTGTATCCTCGTCCGAGCGCAGGCCTGAACCTCACACGGCGATGGAAGAGGCCTTCGCAGGGAAGCTTTGCAGTGAGGAGGACGTAGAGGAGGATGTCAGTCGCTGAAAGATGATTCGCTGTCGGAGCTGGTGGCAGCAGCGTCTTGATCATCTGTGCTCCTCGTTCCACCGTCGGGCACCGGGGCGTCCGGCGTGCTGTCGTCAGCAGTGAGGGAGTGATTATTGATCAGTTTAATGAAACACAAATGCAGAGACAATGATCAACATTAAGTGACTTGTAGAACACTCACTCAAGCAAGTTGGAATCTAAACCCTCCAGGACCATTTTGTTCCTTATGGCCATAACTGGAACACCCTGTCACAAATTAAACTTCTAATGAGATGCACACATTATTTCTACTTTTATCATGATTGTGCATGAGGAGATCGTAAACTCACCACTTGAACCATTTTCAGGTATCGGGCGTAACGTGGGTCCTTCGCCACTGTCATGACATTTTCTGCAGCTACTTCTGCATCTGTTTTCTGCATGGGTGCGGCTTCTCGCACAGTCTGAGTGGGCTACAGGGAGTGTGAAGTAACAAGTGGTTACAAGGTTTAGCATTTCATTAGGTGTTGTACTTTTTAGAGTTTGAGATCCTCTTTTTATCAGATGTTTATATTGGAGCATAAAATACTGATTATTTGAAATGGATCTAAATCACTAAAGCTGCTTCCAGACATGCACTGAAGCACAGACAGTTTTGGAGAGGGGCTGTGTGTGAGAATGCAAATGTCAGAGTCAGTTCAATTTTCTTTCTCTTAGTAAAAGTCCAGAAAATGCCTGAATGAGTCCATGTGAGGATACAGCAGAAAAATCTCAAGAAACTTCCCAGCTGGCGAGGGGGGGGAGGTGCCATGAACATAGAAGAAAACACTTTATGTGTTTGTGTGCATGTCGGTAAATGTACCTCTGGGGGGGGCAGCGTCTCTGCTGGCGGGCCACCTGCTTGGCTCTGACTGGCAGCAGTCGGTCCGTTAGCCTGTGCAGTTTGCTGCTGCTGACTGATTCCGTCGATTGTGACCTCCTCCAGTCCAGGAATGGAGGACAGCTGCTCAGAGCAAAACAATGTGAGTTATAAGATGAGCGCACAGACGTGAAACTGCAGAGAGAATAATGACGGAGGCTCAGGAACTCACCTTGGCTTCCAAAATACACAGAGTGGTTTCAATCTGCTGGATGCGAAGAGATATGTTTGCAAGTTTCTGTGGGGAAGACGTGCGACAGGTCAGATTATAAGAGCGACAGATTGATGTACACATCGATGTGAAGGTAAATTGTACAAACCTCTTCGCACACTGTGGAGAAGCGGTTCAGGAATCGAACCGTATGCACAACAAACTGATTGAGGTAGGCAACTATTCTTCTCTGTTGGATGGCAGGAACCTGGAGGAAGCAAAAAAAAAAAGTCTGAGTGGTAAGAAGCAGTTGAGTGTGAGTTACTGAGGAAATGAAGCAATTCACAGCATCTCTGTGATGCAACTGCTCTGCCCCATCAACAGCCGAAAAGATATTCCAAAATGGAAAAAGTTAAATTTCAGAATAACAATACACAGAGCATTAACTCACTGATCACTTGCTTGAAACATTATTTAATATCATCTAACTTGACATTCAGACAGTAAATTGGAAAATGGGGCTCAGTTGTTTCAGTACAATAAACCAAGGATGAGAAGATGAGCTGTTCGAATACTGTTTTAATTGTTCGTGAATAATTTGAGGAATTTTTCCAGCACAGACCATGAAACATCATCAATCACTCTTTTGTCTCTCGTTCTAATGATTTCCTGCCATTCTGGGTCACGAGTCATTACAAAGTGAGTAAAGGTGAAAAGTCAGCAGCTTAAATGAACATGTTCATACTTTCTGACCGTCCAAAGAGGGAAATTGAACTTCATTTGCAAATGTACATAAATGTACCAAGAAACGTGGATTGTAACACCCCTGTCCTGTAAACACCTGGAGGTTCCACAGGATTCTAATGTGCTGGTGACAGTGAAGTGTTCGGCTGCTGAACACTCGTGAAATGACAAACAACAACAGATTTCCTCTGGTTGTGTGTGTATGAGTGTGTGTGTGTGTGTTGATGTTAGCTAGCCGAACACGAACCTTGGTGAGATCCACTCCGGAGCCCACGATGGGGAGCCCGTCTTCATCCATGATGGGCCCACGACTGTTCCCGACGCTGCGTCGCTCTCACTCGAGGCAGAATTCAGAGGAGAACCCGGAGAAACGAGCAGAAACAAAACAACATTTAGCGAAAGAAGCGTCTCATGTGACTGTGGGCTGAGCGGGGTCGCGTCGTGACGTCACGGGAGCCACGCGAGAGTACGTCAAACCCGACGGGATTTGTTATTTGAGCTTTTATTTTGAAGTCTGTGGGAAACTACAATATCCGGCAGCAGGTCCTCTGGATGAATATTATTATTACTGTTTTTTTTTAATTTGATCAATTATCATGTTGAAATAATCTTATAGATTAAATTAAATTATACTTTAAACCATCTCTTTTTCTATGTGTCATAAACACAAAACACATTTTAAACATTTATAATGTGAACTAAATGTTGTCGGTATTTTTTGTATGGGATTGAAACATACAAAGAGGAAATGTACATTCTTATGTGCAAAAATAAAGCATTATGTATATATATATATAGGCAGGGGTACATATGTAAAAGAAAAGTAGTCTCGTGGAAAAACGTGTTGTAGATATTGTCTAATAAATTGAGCAATTTAAATACAGAGTAAAGTTACATGATAAATGGAGTATTTTTAGGAAGCAGGTGAAAACATTTCTTCTTGTGAGTAAATTATTTCTCATACAGAATAATAAAGTTGACCAGATACCCAAGGACGCCATCTACTGGATTAAATAACATACATTTTAATGGTGTATACTACTGTACATGTGCAGGACTTTATTTATGAGATAATTATATTCTTTTTGTTTGTTTCCTTTCTTCATTTTTGCGTCGGTCACGTTTTAACAACGACATCAACACATCCACTCACTCGCTGTGAGTCCTGTGGTTGGATCTCCTGCTGTGTTCTCTCATCAGTTTATTCAGAGATTCACTGAGTTTTCATGGGGGGGCTGGCAAGAGAAACTCCGAAGAAAGTCTGGAACCTCTCACTCGGGACATTTGAGTTGTCACAAGCACCTCCCCCAGAGAATGTCCGGAGATTATCCAGATTTCTCTTTCTGCTGCCTGCTGTGTAAAATCTCCCTCAACAGCCTCTGTGCTTTAACTGTGCACCTGTTTCTTTGCTCAGGCCAGTTTTGAGTCGTGCCGAGTACATTATACTGTCAGGCAGTGTTTCCCAACCTGGTGCCCATATAACGGGTCAAGGAACAGAACGGAAAGAAACATTTACTCTCTAAAAATGGAAGACTTGTTCCTTGACACCTCTTTTTTTTTTACTGCTGTAATCCTGCTTGCACTGGATGTGTCTTTTGAATGACGTAGTTCCTTCATTTATTTCCTCATAAAACTGAAGGACTCTTTGAGTTGATGGTTACAGAGCAAAGATTAACTAAAAATATCAGGACATCATCTTATTTCCTCTCAGAGCCCATCTGCTCACCCCTCCCTCATGTACTGAGAACAAGGTGCATAAAAGGAAAGCAAAAACATTAAACTGTAAGCTGCTGTAGTCAGCTACATCTTATTTTTTCAGGATATATACATTTAGCTTGTACAGCCCAAACAAAAAGACTCTATAGTATACAGATATATCGCCCCCCTTTCCTCTGCCCCCATCAATCTGTCTGGGTATTCCCCTCTGTGCCATCATGCCACTATTACAGTTGCCCTTTTATAAAAGAGTCATTTTATTGCATTTAATTAACTGAGAGGCTTTAAATAGCTCTGATTGGGCGGGGGGTTAATGGGAGGGAAGTCGATGCCAGACAGGAATCACCAGGATAAAACTGGTTGCGTCGTCCACCAGGGAACCCACACCCAGCTATCCAATGGAGGTTTTGTAATTCAACAGTTCGCTGCTATGAGCCGATCTATTGCAATAAATGTATGAAACCATTTATAGCTTCACTGCAAAATGATACCATCAATTTCAAGTATCAATGCATGCTTCGGGAAAATAGTTTATTTAAATCAGTTTGACCTTCAACTTCATGTTAATGCACCAATTCATGTTTCTGAGGTTAATTGTAAGTTACCTGCCCTCCAGACTAAACTCTTCCAATAATTCATTTCACAAAAGACAAAAAACATTTGCGTGTTAGTGTTCTTTTAATGATATGTCAGCAGTTATGTAGTAGACATTCACGGTGCCGTCAGAGAGGAGGTGAGGATTTCAATGTAGATACAACAAACTCTGTGTTTTGCATGTGTTTATGAAGTAAAGAATTATTATGTGTCTTAACCCTTGGCTTCAATTATCTACAAAAAATATGCAGACTAACAGCCTATTTATTTGTCTTAAAATTTCAAAATCATAAAAAGTTAAACTCTCCCATCATTTATTTCACAAGTGGACAAAAGTCAAACTCTCCTCCACACCGAGAGAGGGTGTGCATAGACGGACTCTTCAGTCCATCCCACTGCACTCACCTCTTGCCTTTACCAGAGTGAAGGGCAGCAGAGCGCGAGCAGATGTCTGGATGTGACTGTCAGCGGAGAAATTCGGAGAGCTGGTGACCATGCAGGTGAAATAAACAGATAAATAGGGTGGAAACAAGCGGGCTGCGGAAGCAGATAACGGCACGACGCAGAACCCATCAGCAAGATTTACTGTCCAGTCGGTGTTAGTTGTCTTGGTGGTGGCTTAATAACCAGTCATAAAGAGGTGGGAGGGAGCTTGTGTGTTGGACGAAGACGAGTGTGAAAGCATTGATAGAGGAAAGAAGAGAAGGGGAGTGTGTAAAAGAGAGAGAGGGGAGTAGATAAAGCCGGAGCAAGGATCATGAGCTCTGCACTGCCGTACGACTCGCTGTCAGCTCGGCCGAGTCCCAGCAGACGAGCTCTGGACTGGGAGCGTGACCAGTTAGCTGTGCGAAGACTGTCCTCTCCACAGGGTCTCAACCTACTCACTCCTCCTCCTCTTCCTCGCCGACCCTCTGCCATCCCTGGCTACCTGCTGTCACCCTACCAAGAGCAGGAGGAGCAGTCCCACCAACAGCAGCAGCGACTATCCTTGTCTATGTGCTCAGAGGCCTCCCTGGCTCCCCCAGCACCTCCACCTGTGGGTACTCCCCCACCCTGCTGCCGCCCAGTGGGAGTCATGCACCTCCTGCGCCTGGGACTCCTTGCTTTCAGCTGCCTTTTCTGGGCAGCCGGCTTGGCCCTCTTCACCCTGGGTGTTTGGGCTCAGATTTCACTGGCAGACTTCATGCTGTTGTCTGCCAATCGCTACCCCAATGCCCCTCTCATCCTCCTGTCCACAGGTGCCGCCGTCACCACTTGGGGCTTTTTAGGGTGTCTCGGGGTGGCTGCAAACCTGCCTTGCGTGCTGAGGGCGTATGGGTTCTTTCAACTTGCTGCACTTATAGCCGGTTTGGCAGCGGGACTCTCAGGCCTCTTCTACCGTGAAGATATTGCTGGAGGATTTCGCAGTGGCTTACAGCGAGCGGTGGCCGGCTACACGGAGGATGAGGGCCGTGCCGATGCTCTAGACAGCCTGCAGAGGGCCCTGGAGTGTTGTGGCGCTGAGGGTTGGCGTGACTGGCTCACTTCAGATTGGGCTTCCCAACACATGACCTTCCTGCCTAATGAGAACAGTTCCTCGGTGTCCCTGCCGGACAGCTGCTGTGCGAGGCGCAAGGGTTGCAAGAATCGTCCTCTTCTGTCAGATGATAATGACGAAGTAGTTGCTGCAGGAATCCATCCACACGGCTGCTTCCGTAAAGTCTTCAGTTTGGTCAACGACAACGTCTTCCACATTGCTGCCACTGTGTTGGGATTAGCCTTTACCCAGATTGGAGGCATTGCCCTGGCTTGTCTGCTTGCCAACAAACCAGCACAAAGACATCATCGTCGTGTAGTGGCACATTAATGCTCAATCTTAGACCAAGTATTGGTAATCAATGCCGTAAAGGATCAGTCGAGTTGCAAAGTTGGGGGAGTGTTTTTGGGCATTCAGGGTTCCACAGCTACTCCTCTCACTTTGTAACTCTTTGACCCTCATTGTTTGCATGGCTCTCTTTACTGTACAGGTTTAAAAAATCCTCACTTGATTCACTGTAAGGGGAAAAGAGGTTTAAAAGTGCAATTTTGTCCATTTGGTGCAGTAGTAGCTAGTCTGAGATCACATGTTCTTGGGGCAAAATTGAATAGCTTCTTATAGTCTCACAGACGATGGCATGATGCAAGGGTCTTTGCTAACAGTTGTCATTTTCCCGTCCAGTGGCCACATTGTTTGAATAGTAAATGCACTTGCGTCCATCTGAGAGTCAATGGACGTGTTGGTTTTAATATGAGATGTAGTCAGGTGCATTTTTGGTGCATTTCTAACTTGTGCTGTTGACCAACAAACATCTGGTCTGAAGTCCACAATCAGGAAATAGACCTGCTGCATACACTCTGCTTCCCACACCTGCTTCACCTCAGGGATCCTGTTGTTGCAGTAGATGGTTTACTTGTGCGCTTTCACTCCAATGCATGAGCAGATGGTTTTCCTGGCAAATGTGCCTTTATTATTGTCAGCTGCTGTGGGGCAAGCATGCCAGGCTTTTACAGGGAATAGGACATGGCGCTCTGATTGGTTGATTGCATGTTACGCCCCAAGGACACCCATGATTTACTGAGAGATTAAATAAAACTTTTGAACCAATTCGCCTGGTGCAACAATTTCTGTCACTGTTTAACTGTTCGGACACTCGCTCCATGTGCTTAGATTGTTAAAATAGAGCCTGATGTGGTCGTACAAGTGATGTTTTTCTTCCTCTTTTCCTGTATTCAGTCAGAAATGTTTAAGTAATGACATTATTAATGAATGTACCATTATTGGTTAGACTTTTCTCATGCTGGACTTTTCCTCAACTTACCTCATGCAGTATATGTGAATGCACAGGAATGTTCACCAGCAGTTTTCCACTTTAGACGTTTTAGTCTGTTTGTGTTCAGCAGATGTTCATCTCCACATCATTTAGTTTTACCATCACAAAGGCGACACTGTGCTGGAATGGTGCTGTAGAAACTAAGCTTAATACTGTCTGTGATATTTTGTCTGTGCCATTTTTACTGTATCCTGCGCTTTTGTAAAATCTGCTTCTGTGATATTATGAATGCTTTAAAATGTCATCCTCCATGTGTCATTGATTTGCTTGAGTATTTATACACTAATGCACAAGTTTATCTCACAACATAAAATTGTAGCGCTACTTCCAAATCTCTTGATTGCATTAGCATGACCCACATGTAAACGTTAGTCTGTGATGATTAGCATTTTTCTTGAATTACTTTTATATCCAACTTAAAGCAACTCAAATTACAGCCAAGCTTGCTCTTTCCAGTGTTTGAGCCAAGCTAAGCTATCTTTCCGTATGCTTCCTGGCAAAATACAGAAAATGAGTACATATACAAAAATGCTAACTTAATTTTGAAGAATGAGAAAGTTTTTTCGATTTTTCGATTCCAGCGCTGAAAAAATACAAATCCATTAGCCTCGCTTCGAGCCTGATCACCAATTATTTCATCTGTCCTCTTCAGGATAGGCTTTTATTTCTGTAGTAATTGTAATATATGGTATGTGTTCACATTCAGTAATATATAATCCATATTTATTGTTACCAGCGGTGCAAACATGGCATGATTGAAACTGTATCAAACCATATCTGTTAACAATACACGAAAAAATCTTTGCCTCATTACAGCGTATGATATTGATTCAGCACTGGGAATGACAATGTCTGCTGTCCTTGAATATATTAAATGTATAAATGGTAACAGCATTATTGTGATGTAATGGTGGTGTAAAAGCAGCACAGCAAGACAAATACATATGTATATATTAAAGATTGTGTGAATTGTTGAAATCTTGTAAAGAGTAATTTATTTTTATTAGTTCTGGGAATTAAGTGAAGTATTTATCTCTCAATTTCACAGGTGGCAAAGCGTGAAGCCCACATTTGCATTTTAAAGACCTTTGGAAACATGACTTGGTTTTTATTTTATGACCAAGGCCAGAGTGGATAGATGCCAGAGTGATAAATTCTCAGCACTGGTCGATCCTCACATGAGACCTCTAAACAGCCTATTCCGAATTATGGCTAACTGGTTGACATCTAATTTCTACCACCTGAGACAGAAGTGATTAGATCTGACCTTGAAGGGAGACAACAGACACGGCAGCGTGATGAAAACACAACAGGCCCAGTGCAGCAACGATCAGTTTATGGAGCAGAACATCATGAAATACATCCTCAGCTCAGAAGATGATTTTCATACATTTATCACAACCTCCATCATCAGTGTTGAGAGACAGCCTGCGTGCTGCGCTCCAAGCAATGACTGACGTTTTCATGACCTAATTATGGTATTGATTAGCCTACATTATGCTCTAACAAGGCTTGCGGATGCTTTCTGTCTGATTGCACTGTCCTTGTTTAACCTATTTTGCTTGAGATCGACATATCCACTCAGGATTTCAACATGCATAAGATGAGCTCCGAAATATATTATGCATAACATCTTAACTCAGGGAAAACACGAGGGGCGAGAAAATCTCAACAACAGGCACATCCAGTGAAAAATCTTTTGATGGGTGTTGGATGAAAAAACATTATGTAATTACCCACAATCCATTTTTGCTGACATAACATTAGCATAATAATTACTGTTTACGGTAATGTGCAAAACAGATGCAAAGTGATGCAGTTTGTGAGATCTGTATTTAAAATCCCACAGTTAACTACATCACACAGCCAAATATATTTAACTATACTGTCAAACCAAATCACCAAATTATATTTGTATATAATCCATAATCACAAATACCTTCTGCCTCATGTGACTTGTGTCTCTGTACAGGGTGTAATTCAGGGTGAGGAAAACTTCCAATGAATTTTATTTTACAGAGGAAAAAGACACATATACTCAAGAGAGGGGTGTTGTGTGTCTGTGTGAAGGTTTCAATCTCTAAACACAAACTTCACTGTTTTATTTCAGGTCAGAATTCATTCAGAATTTTGTTGTTTTAGAAATGTGAACATGCTGTTGGCCATTATCTTCATGTCCCTGCACTTGGAGCCGCTTAAAATAAATATGGCCTCAGGGACCTACTCACACATTGGTGCAAAGCTCCTGAATCTGATAACAGCTCTGCCCCCAGTTTATTTGCTTTTGGATTTTGCAATTTCACACATCCATGTCTGTGCAGGCTGGAGAAAAGTCTCACACCCTGGAAATGTAGCTTGGGCATAGTTCTGGATTTCACTTGTGGGCCCCAAGTTCTACATTTTTATTAAGATACATGTAGTGAAAAGAAAAAAAAATCTCTTTTCTCCTCCTCTGTCTGCCTTTCGTCTGACTCATTGCACAGTTTGCACAGCAGCCTGCGCTCTGCCCTATATTTTATTTGGCAATTCTCTGTCCCACCACGACAACAGCAGCTCTCTCTCTCTCTCTCTCTCTCTCTCTCTCTCTCTCTCTCTCTCTCTCTCTCTCTCTTTCTGTAGTCCGTCGCTGCGTAAAAACCATCCGCCGCGCTGCGCCTGGAAATGTAGCTGTTTTACGCACGGCGAGGTCTCCAAAAAGATGGACTTAAAATCCGAGCTCCTCAAGTCCATCTGGTACGCGTTCACGTCGCTGGATGTGGAGAAGTGTGGCAAAGTGTCCAAGTCACAGCTGAAGGTAAGTGTGTGGTCATTTTCTAGATCAGGAAACTGGGACACAGGAGCAGGGACGCGGACTTTAACTGCGTATTTGTGCCACTTTTCTTCTGTTTAGCGCCGGTTGAAACAAACCAGAACTCTTTGGTTTCTTTCGCGGCCTTTACACGTTGGAACATTGTGTATGAATCTATGTTGTACTAAGTGTACTAGTGAACACACAAACGCCCTACAGCCTCACACACAAACCCAAATATGTCCCACCAACAACACGTTACTCAGATTAGACGAGAGCCAGATTCCAGCTCAAAGTCCAACTTCTTCTCTGTTGCTTTTCTTCGTTTATAACCAGAGACATAATAACACCACAGCTATATCAGCGTTTCAATCAGAACTGTGCATGTCCACACTGAGAGAGTGTTATTCACTCTGTCATGTGGCTTTCTGTCCAGTTCCTACATGTCTGTCTGAGCCCCCCCCCCCCACTGCAGAGAAGAATCCAGGGAAGCAGCAGAAAGCTGCCCTGACATGCAAACACTAGAAACCAGCTGTCTCTACTGTGTGTGTGGATACATGAAAAAATGTAGTGTGCACATCATTCTGATGTTTATCTTTTTAAAGGTGTGTGTGTGTGTGTCTCTAGGTGCTTTCACACAACCTGTACACTGTGCTGAACATCCCACATGACCCTGTGGCTCTGGAGGAGCACTTCCAGGATGATGATGATGGGCCGGTGTCCAATCATGGCTACATGCCCTACCTCAACAAATATATACTGGACAAGGTTAAAAACACCTCAACACTTATTTGTTTCACTTCCGGTTATTGTGGTCTATTTTATTTGTGCACATGTTGTACATTTTTAACAGGATATGTCATTAAATGGCCCATAAACAGGAGAATCAATCACAAAGTTATTCAAAACTCACCCACTGATAGATTTTTGTTGAGGTTTGTAATTATAACAGAAATATAGAATGTTTATTTCTCTTCTCACTTAAAACAGTTTGAAAATGCTTTTGTAAATAAGATATACGCACCTATATCAATGTGGACATTTCAAACGTTTCTCAGAGGCAGAAATTATCGTAATAGTTAAAGTTTAAAGTTGGTCGTTGGAGCAGCTTTCCACTAATCACTGGTTTATTCCAGTGTTAATCTCTGTGGTTTAGAGACATCTGATGTTTAAACCCTGTTTCCTGAATGTTTAAGTAATTACAGCCCATGTTGCTCAGGTCAAAGAGGGGATGTTCGACAAAGAGAAGTTTGACGACCTGTGCTGGATGATGACCATGAAGAAGAACTTTAGGGGGATACCACAGGGGGCGCTGCTATCAGAGAGGGACTGTTTCAAGCTCTTCTGTCTATTCAACCTCTTGTCCGAGGACCGCTACCCACTGGTGATGATTCCAGAGGAGGTAAGCGATGATGTCAGACTGGGATTATTGGTGGCAATTAATGAGTGAGTGACGTTTTTGAACAGGGCTCAACCATGGAGACTCAAGTCCACGATTATATGTTTTCAAAGTAATAAAAGTTAAAAATTAAACAGTGTGCATCTGGAGAGAAGAGTGCAAAACTTTGTCGCGGAACATTCTGTGCAAATAAAGACACACAGAGGAACCAATCACAACCAGATTGCCCAGTTTCTTCACAGCAGTGCAAATAAGTGAGTTAATGAGGATCTTCCTTCCTGTGTTTCCTCCATGCTGCTCTTGGTTTCCTGTCGACAGAGACCAAAATAAACTGTTTGTACTCATGGCACAGTAGCCTCCTTCTGTGAAGTATAGAACAGAAATGTACTGATGCAGTACATCAGCGTACTGGATTTCTACGCACATTTGGTTTTTTATGGTTTCAATGGCTTTTAGGTGGAGTATCTCCTCAAGAAAATCTCCACGGCGATGAGCGAGGAGTGGGACGGGAAGCCCTTGGAGGACTTGATATCCCAGGATGCCACGCTGCTGGAGGAAGGCATGTCTGTGTGGTCGTTCCTGGAGCGCATGATTGCGGGCCAACTGCTGAGGGTCACCAGTGCCGAGGCCTTCAGTCTGGCTCTGCACGAGGTTTTCCTGGAGATGTATCACAACGTCCTGAAGAGGGTGAGCGTTTAGGATCATGTTTTTTTACCCAATTCTATATCTTCTCTTTGTCTTTTTCATCCTGACCAATGTTGTTTTCAGGGTTATATGTGGAAAAAGGGGCACGTTCGTCGGAATTGGACAGAGCGTTGGTTTGTGCTGAAGCCCTATTCCATGGCGTACTACGTCAGCGAGGACCTGAAAGACAAGAGAGGAGAAATCCAGCTGGATAAAAGCTGTGTCATAGAGGTTGGTCAGGACGTGTATTGCAGATGTGTTCACCCAAAGTCTTTAACTTGAGCTCTCGAATCTCCTCGTCTTTCCAAGTTCCTGGATGGTTTTTCCAGTTTCACATCCGGTGCATGTTAGAAACTTCACCCCACCGTAATATTTCAAGAATAATCGGTGTGCATGTCGGAGAGCGGCTCAAGATGTTTTCTCTCGTGTCTCCTTTGTGTCCCAGACTCTTGCAGACAGGGAGGGGAAACGCTGTCTGTTCTGTGTGAAAACCCACAATAAAACCTTTGAGATGAGTGCGTCCGACCAGAGAAAGAAAGTGGAGTGGACTCAGGGTGAGTTGTTGCGTCTCAGTAGAATCACAAGGACAAGGTCACAATTTAACTACTCTGGTTTATAATGTGTGTGGCCACGGCTGTGTTGTGCTTGTGCTTTGTCTGGATCTGGAAGTAAATTTTCCATTGCGGTTTCAGAAAATCCTTATAAAACGAGACCAGGCCGAGGTAGAGGTTTTTTATATGTGTATATATTTCCGGCATTAAGTGTGAAAGGGGGAGAGAGAGCAGGGGAGACATGCAGCTGAGGTTATTTGTGTGTCCTTGTTGTGGCCCCTTAGATCAGTTTCAGTTATGTTGGATGATTTTATGTTTGTGAATTGTTCAATATTAAAACCCACATATCTCTTTTATGGTGGCAACTGAGGATAAGGAACATTTGATCTTCTCACAAAAAACATGCATCCACCAGTTCTTCTTATACCAAGCAAATGGTCTTCATTTACTCAGAATTTACATTAACCTGTGTGTGTGTGGCCTCTCCAGCCATTCAGACAGCCCTCCGTCTCCAGGGCGAGAGCAAGTCTTCCCTTCACCACGAGCTCAAGCTGAAGCGACGGGTCCAGCGAGAACACAGTCATCGGGAGCGGTGCCGGAGCACCCGCAGCAGCTGCAGCAGCCAATCGGACGACTCCAACATCCAAGAGTTGGACAGGATGGAGAAAGACAAGGACAAACAGGATCTGGAGATTGAAAGCATCATCCAGGTGAGAGGGGAAGGGGTCGATAATGGAATCACAAGGACAATAATGCCATTATTATAAACATGTGTTAGCTTCATATACCATCTGTGTTTGCAGCATGCGCGGGAACTGGAGAGCAGGCGAAGGGAGGCAGAGGAGAAAGAAAGGAGGAGACAGAGGGAGGTGCAGATGGAGCTGGAGAGGCAACTGAAAGAGGCTGAGATGGTAAAAAAAAAAAAGTGCATTTGTGATAATGTCTTCGCAATTTTTCTGAAATGGGATTTAGCATCCATCCAATCTCTCCGTTCTCTGAAAACAGCATGAAGACTCTGGCATTATAAAATTCAGATTTAACCCTCAGTGATTTTTAGTGTTTTTAGAAACGTTTATGAGATTCATGGAAGAGGTGAATCAGGAAGAGGACAGTTCTTTCCACTCAGCTGTTGCTGCGTATGCGTGTGATTGTGTGTGTGTGTGTGCGTGTGTGTCCAGTTGAGAGACAGCATGCAGGCGGAGATGCAGGAGAAGGAAAAGGAGGCCGAGCAGCAGAAGAGGAGGATTGAGGAGCTGGAGTTGACGCAGCAGAAACTGGAGGCAGCGCTCAACATGGAGATCCAGGCTCGGCTGGAGGAGGAGAGAGTCCGACAGGAGCTGGAGAGGTGAGAAACACACACGGAAAACATTTCAGCGACCACAGTACAATAACTACCTTCCCATGCGCACGTCTCAGTCACCTCTCATATTCTGGTGTCTCTAAGCTTCTGCTCCGCCTCTTTCCTTCAGGTTGCTGGAGGCTGAGGAGGAAAAGAAGAGGCAGTGTCAGCTCTTGCAGGAGCAGCAGAGGGCGCTGCAGAGCCTCAGCCCTATAGAAGAGGCCTCCTACGTGAGGACGGATGAGGTCACCCCCTCTGCCCTCGACTCAGCCTCGCAGGAGCTCCAGGATCTGCAGGCGTCTCGCCAGAGGAGTCACCAGCGCCTGGAGGTGAGGAATGAGGCGGTGTGTTTGGATCAGCTCTGTGAGCCTCCGCTTTATACAAAAACAACCGTAACTACCACTTTCTACTTATCCTCTCACTCCAGGAGGTTCAGGAGAAGCTGAGGAACGCCAGTCAACACGTGCGGCACTGGAACGTCCAGCTTAACCGCCTGATGACGCCCATCTCTCCTGGAGGTGCAGTATTCTCTTTGTCTGCTGTGTTCAGGTTGGATCTTAGGGTCGACACAACAATGTGACATTAAAAACTATGTGAAACGTACTGAGATATTAAGGAGCAAGAATCTATGCTATGCTCCATGGGGCTATACTAGAAGACATTTAATCATCCAAAGAATAAAGAAGTGTTTGGTATTACAATTTTTCAACACAAAAAAATAGGACTTAATATTTGGAAATGTGGTATAAATGAAATTAACAACAATAAATACAATCCTACGATTTTTTTTTTTTTCTAGAGCGTTTGGGATATCGCATGTCATCCAAACAACTGTGTCCCAAAAAAGAAGGAGCGCTGGCGAGTAACGAGTTCATCACTAAATTCAAGAAACGATCCGATGAGATCGATGAGATCGATCAGATCCCAGAAGACGACCGGACACTGGAGGAGCAGATGGAGGCCGCCCATCTGACTGACGGATCGGATGAATCACAGGGAAAACCCAACGGACAAATGTGATAACCATGCTGACTGTTTTTAAATGTACAATTTCAAAAATGATCAAACTAAAAATATGTGTAGGACTGTGAGTAGAGAGAGACTCATCATTTCCAGGAATATGTAGAGAATCTGCAGAAATCATGGTAATATATTTATATTCAGAGGTTTACCCTGAGATGATGGAGGACAATGACGACGAGCTCGATGTGATGCTGGATTCAATTAAGACCCATTTGACTGAGACCAACAGAGATGTACAGTTTTGTACAATAAAGTTTATTGCTGAACAATAAAACTTCACGATTTTGTGATATTTGTCATTTTTACTAATCTGCTCTTGCAAATTCTCTGCTGACATCCACTGGAAACCATTTGTAAAAATGAGTCAAGTTTAAAAAGCATTATGGTATTTACCCTTGTTTTGATTATCTAATTAACTTCACCTCTCATTCTTTGCCCATTGTTCTTTTACATTATAGAATCAATATATATTGCATAATTCATTCAGTAATTTATATATAATCACATCATAATTTATATAATAACGTTTAATGTACATATCATTATATATAATATTTAGGTATGTATATATAAATGCCGATGTTATTATTATATATATTTTTACCTTCATTATTTTATCTTATCCTATTGTATATATTATATATCCTCTTAGTTATATTCTGAATTATATTTTAGTGAGTTCTGAAGTGTGAGTATATATAAAACTGTTATTTGTTTATGTTTTTTTATGTCGTGGCAGAATCTGACCTGAAGGGGGCGCTGAAGTCTGACAATGACCCGGAAGGAAAACAGTCGAACTCTCCCTGGTTCAGACAAGATGGCGGCGCCCTGCAGTGGGTCACGCCGGCTGCTGGAGGCTCAGTGTCGGGTTTAACTCTTGATTAATATCTCGGTTGATCCGCTGGTTCAGTTCGCAGGTGAATGGAGGGATGGTTGTGACCTGCGAGGACGTCATCGGCTGAGGAGCTCACCATGCTGACGTCAGTGCTCGTCGACATGTCGGCCGCCTCCAGGGGGAAGAAGCTCGGCTCTCTGCTCTCTCTCGGCAGGAGTCTGTCCCACAGCCAGCGCGGCTCCCCGGATCCCCCGCCGGAAACCTCCGCTCCACTCCCGGACACAGAGCCGGAGCGGAGCTGGAGGCGCCGGAAGGACCCCAGCGGCCGCTCCGTGTTCCTCTTCCCCGGGCAGGGCAGCCAGTTCGTGGGCATGGCCCGGGGTCTCTTGAAGTACCCCAACGTTAAAGAGATGTTCGACGTCGCCCAGAAGATCCTCGGGTACGATCTGCTGTCCCTGTGCCTGCAGGGGCCCGAGGAGGACCTGATGAAGACGGTGCACTGTCAGCCCGCAGTGTTCGTCACCTCTCTGGCTGCTGTGGAGAGACTCAACCGGGAAAACCCACAGGTGGCGATCAGTCGATTAATCGGTCATTCTGCAAAATCGGTTCACGGAACATTTTAATTATAAGTTGTTGGTTTGACAGAAAAACAAGTGACAACCCAACTTTTTCTCCGATGAGTGCATCATGGCTGCACCTGACATATTTTAAATTTTAATAAGTACACATTACTCATTATAAAATTATAGTAATTATAATAAACTGTTATTATGAATGCCAAAGAAAAACAATGTTCCTTTTCCTCGCACGTGTCCGCAGGCTGTTGAGACATGTGTGGCCGCTGCAGGTTTCAGTGTTGGAGAATTCGCTGCTCTGGTTTTTTCCGGTGCCATGGACTTTGCAGAGGGTAAATATGACGTAATGTCCTGTCGTGTGCCGGACAGTGAGTGTACCATGCTTACACCCTGCTTGTGTCCTGTAGCTCTGTATGCGGTGAAGGTGCGTGCGGAGGCCATGCAGAAGGCCTCGGAGCTGGCTCCCAGTGGGATGCTGTCAGTCATCGGACGACGTCAGGCTCAGTATAAACACGCTTGTCTGCAAGCTAAAGAGCACTGCAAGAGTCTGGGGGTGGAGCAGCCCGTGTGTTCTGTGGCCAACTATCTGTTCCCTGACGGCAGAGTCATCGCAGGACATCGACAGGTACGGAGCGTAAAAACAAAATCAAAAATACAACCGCACCATCTCAGATGATGCAGCCATTACTACCTGGTATAGGTGGTGACATATCTGTGTCTCCTGGTACGTGTTTTTTAATCCGAGCTCTCTTGTCCTTCTAGGCTCTGGATTTCCTGCAGCAGAACTCGAGACGTCTCCAGTTCATGAGGACCAAACCTCTCCCGGTCAGCGGAGCATTTCACACCGAGCTGATGGCCTCGGCTGCTGAACCCCTCCGAGAGGTTCTTAGACAGGTGGAGGTCAGTCCGAGTGCTGCTCAGTCACATCCGCCCTTCGTGGTCTTTTTATATATTTATTGGAACCAGACTGACGTGGATTTTTGATTTAAAATGTATTTGTTGAGATCATAATCTGCAGATATTTTTTTATTAAAATAATAATTAGTTGCAACCATGAAAACAAATCATCAACCTTCCAGTTTGTACTTTGGGAGAATGGAAATTATACTTACTGCCCCTTTAACATTCATCAACATTTCACCTTTAGATTTGAATGGAGCTGACAGCCATGAAGTTGCCTTTAGTTTAATCATCTGACTCCTCGATGTCTCTCCTCCTCAGATGCGGCGTCCTGAGATCAACGTGTACTCCAACGTCGACGGGAAGCGCTACATGAACGAGAGCCACATTCGGCGGCAGCTGGTAAAGCAGCTAGTGTCGCCCGTGAAGTGGGAGCAAACTCTGCACGAGATCTACGAGAGGACGCAGGGGGAGCGATTCCCTCACACCTACGAGGTCGGCCCGGGAAAGCAGCTGGGCGCCACGCTTCAGAAATGCAACATGAAAGCATTCAAAACGTACACGCAGGTGCAAGTCACCACGTATGAAGACTGATAACGCAGAGGCGTGGATTTGGAATTAAGCAGCAGGAGGAAAAAATGGACTTCTGCAAGACCAACTAAACTTGCAAGCTCCTGTGGTTGCTTCTCAAGGTCTTGTTTGTGTATTAGTCTGAATTAAAATCGTTATTTTTTACTCAAGAGACTGCATCATTTTGTCTTTATGATTTTTATTAGCATTATAAGAAAAGCAGTTCAAAATCTGCAACAGAAAGTCCAGCTCCCGTCATTTTATATTAAGCCAAGGTTCATATCATCTGTAAAAAAACAACATTTCTGGGCCTCTTAAACCAGTAAGAAACTACTGTGGATACAAAAGACTGCAGGCCAGCAACAGTCCAGTCATGGAAACTTGTGACCTTGAAAACAACATTTCAGTGCTACATGATACTGACCAACTCCTTGGCTAATGCTATCAAACTGATTTAAATCCACATGCATTAGGATAATTTTTCACTGGTACATTACCCAGGAAGCTGCCCACAGTCGCCTGCGCCAACTCCAATACCGCTCGTTAAAATAGTATAAAAAGAGAACTCAAAGTAAACACCAGAAACAAATCAGTTAGCAATAATTACCACTCGCTTGCAAACGTTTTTCTTGTCAAATATAATAATGGTTTAAAGGCCTTATTATTATTATGGCTGTTTAATCTTTCCATTCCATCCATAAGGTACCGAGGAGGGTCACTGCAGCCACCAGTGCCACAGTCACGAGGGCTCCTCTGGTCCAATCAGTGCAGGTTATTGGTTTGAAACTGGAAATCTGCAAAATAAAGGAATATGAGTCCAACATGAAAAACTCTGAAGACTTAGGTGCCTTAGAATAAAAGTTTTCCAAAGTTCACAACATATGGAATAATATTTCAACATGTTTTACAGTGACACGTATAATGCTTTGGAGGATTAGTGTTACCCAGTCTGTCCAGGCCTCAGCTCTGAGGAGACCCTGCCCAGGCGCCGTGCTCACTATCCAGGCTTTCACTGCAGCAGAGAAGCCCTGGAAGCCCCATAACTGGTTGTGGAAACCCCTGGAACACAGTAACACCAGGTTACACCGCCAATCACATGAAAATCTGAAAATAACACAAAATGTGGCTTTTTTTTTACCGATACATGTTCCTGGTAAGTGCCTGAGCAGGTCTCAGCATGCGTAGAGGAGTCGGGAGCCGGTTTGGCCGCCTGCTGGTCCACTCCCGGTCCATCTGGTCTCCGATGGCAGCCAGTTGACGGGCGAGGGCACGAGAAGTCCTCTCATTGATTCTGAAACAGGAACAAGAAGAGATGTGGTTTATTTGTCTTTGCAAGACGGTCAGGGAAGCCTTATTCATTCAAGGGAGCAGCTGATCTTACACCAAACAAATGCGAAAACCAGCAACGTCTTCCTTAATTTTCCTTGGGATCAATGAATTATCTATGTATCCATCTATCTATCCATCCATCTAATTACTCTTGTATTTGTCACATATTTTTGCCCAACACAAAAACACAAAAAAATTCATCATCATTGTCCAGTTGATTTGAAAGCACTTGTTTTTGGCACAACTGATCCCACATGGTCCGCTGCCTGTCTGTCTCAGCCTGTCTGAGCTGTGTGCTGCTGTTGTTATTACCAATCACACTAGTGTGTGGAGGGGCCTTCTGCTGTACCTGAAGTTAACGTCAAACAGGCCTCCAGTGTCCGCCTCACCAGGTCCAGCCTGGAGGGGGACGACTGGACTGGGCTGTCTGCTTTGTTTCACCATCTTTGTTTTCTGAGGGAGGAGAGAGAGAGAGAACCAGTATTATGCAAATTGTTCTTTATTAATACACAAGCCTGGAACTTCATCGGCCATGCAGGACAGATAATGGCTCCATGGTGAGACACTAGTGTTTGTGCATCAGCCCTGCTTGGCTCCCAACGTTCATAAACACTCTGTGTAAATAGTGGCTCATGTTACCAGGATAGGTGGCGGCTGTGTAACCAGGGAGAAAATCCAGGTTGATAAAAACAGGCTCTCCCAGGTTTGAAGAGGTGACATCATGTGTTGGATTAAGTCCAACAGTTGTCGTCCACCTACGTCTGGATACTGTGTGAGTTTCAGCTCTGGAGTGGACACGAATCAACCTTTATCACTATACTCCCATATATGACTTGTTATTTTCTGCAGTTTGGGATCCTCCTCCAAGCACCTGCCCTGACACAGTTCCTGTTGTGCCTGCAGTCCTGCCTCTGAATGCAAATGCACCATTTCCATAACTCAAAACAACCAAACTGCCTCTTTTTTCCTTCATGGAGATGAAATAAAACATCACTGCCTCCAAAGAATTTACTCATACACACATTAAAGCTGTATTTCTTCAAAGCCTCATATATCCTGAGGAAATCTCATGTGCTACAGCTGATTTAAATTAATACAATTGTCAAATTAAAGCCATAAATGTGGGGAAATTAATCACACAATCATACACAAAAGAATAATCATGTTTTTGTATAAAAATCATGGACTAGCCTGAAGGGTTTTGTCCATATTGCCACAACAAAGAGGTGAAGTCATCCCTCAAAAGCAAACAAAGGTTGTTTTCAAGATCACATATTAAATATTAAATGACAATAAATCCACAGATGTTTAAAAATCAAACACAAACAACATTTCCATGTAATAAGTATAATGTCTCATATTGCAATTGAGTATTAATGTCCCCTGTCACCATAAACATGTGCACACACAATAAAAAAAGAAAGTAAAACCAACCTTTTGAGTAGATTAAAGTTGACGCCGCCCTATAATAGATATTAACATATGTTAGTTAAAATGTATAAGAGATGAATACATTAAATAAATAAATATTCATTTGGTGTTTTCCTGAACTTACAGCAGCGTCCTTTAATCTTGTTGCTCTCAGGTAACTGCCACGAATGTGACTGGCCACACCTTCACCTGCTGATACAGAGAGCAGCGGAGGGGTGACACTCTGCCAAAACAAGATGCAGCTCAGGGTTGTCTTTATAAAAGGAATTTATCGTTCAGAATTTACTTATTTCAACGGTGGGAAATTAAAAAATATAGTTAAATCTTATTATACATCATAATACCTATGGAGGTTAATCTTATAATAGATTATAATACATATAAGTTACATCTTATAAAACACACATTACAAAAAATATAATATATTATCAAGCTAATAATACATTACAAAACAAATTTAGTTGAATCTTAAAATACGTTATAATACTTCACAATGCAAATACAGTTTTTATACATTACAATACATCCTGATACATATAGAGTTGAATACTTTATAATACTACAATATAATAATACTGGTATTATTATATTATAGTCTCATAATATTCCGTATGTATTCTCGATAGTATTCTGATGACGTTGTGTTGCGGAGTTAAATGCTTGTTGTTCTTCTTCTTTGTTTTATTTACATTGTTTGTGAGGAAACTTTTTTAACAAATAAAGGTTGATTGAAGATAAAGACGCTGCCTCCTGCTGGTGCTCTGCGGTAACGACACCCTGCAGCGACACCACTGCGTCCTCCGTTGCTAGGTTATTTTTTTTCCCCGGGAAGGCCGACGCCACCGCGGGGTTCGCGTTTTAGACTAATTCATAAAAACACGCAGGTGAGAAAGCGAGTTGCTGAGGCCGATTAACACCGGAGACTGTCGCTGCGAAGAGGAGTTTGTTCGGTGTCCCGCTTCACGTCGCCCGCCTCCGTGACTGCAGCTCGTTAGCATCGATGAAAAGCTAACATGGGAGGGACGGCCGGTCCGCGGTGATGTCTGACCGACGCTCTGCCGCTGTGCTCGGCTGTGAGTCCAGACAACCTCGGCTCCGGTTTGAGTGAGTGACCGGGTGATGTCCGCCCAGCCTCCGCAGCATCAGCCCGCGGAGGATCCAGCAGCAGCAGCCCGCTAACCGCAGAGCCAGCCCGGCTAGCTGATGCTGATGACTGGCTGTTTTGCTGACATTGATTTCCAGGTAGGTGGCACATGCGTTTCCTCCCTCTTGCCCCGCAGTGTTCTGCCCGTGGCCGTGCTCATCTCCCGCTGTGTGTTTTTTTTTGTTCACCTGCTCCACCCCAGGGAGGGAGGCACCATGGCCGGTAAGGTGAAGTGGGTGACGGACATAGAGAAATCAGTGCTCATCAACAACTTTGAGAAAAGAGAATGGATCCAAGTCACAGAAAACGACGATTGGAATTTCTACTGGTAGGTTTCACACCCAACACCGCACATGGACCTTCAGTCCTCGGACACTACTCGTAAGCACGCATCGCACACGATGAGGGGGAAAGTACTGAGAATATTTGCTTCTGTAAAAGCACCAGTATCATATTATTAAAGGTTCAGTGTGTGGAATTTAGTGACATCTAGTGGTGAAGTGGTATCTTGCAGCTGAACACCCCTCACCTCACCCTCCAAACAGGAAAGAGAACCTGTAGCAGCCTGCAGTTGTCAAAACTCAAAAGGTTTACATGGCGGCCTCCGTAGAGAGGACCCGCCCCTGATGTAAATATAAAGTATTTATATATAAAGGTCCATTCTAGGGTAAAGAAAACAACAACTGATGAACCTTAAATGAAGGTCCTGCATTTAAAATATCACAAATCAGCCGCCAAAGTTTCAAAAGTTCAACTAGTTGAGTGAGTGTGTTATTATATACATTCAGTATTTGGTTAACATTGATGCAGAGTGAGGAGGAACCAGTTGTAACTACTTTATATAGTGTATTTGTACAGTGGTTCCCAGCCTAACCTCACAGACATCTGAAATGTGATAAGGGCGTCTTACCAGAGGAGAAAGTGAAAAGAACTGAACAGCACTATTTTACTATAACACATTTCAGTACCATATTCTGCAGATGTATTTGTGCCCATGTGCAGGATGAGCATCCAGACCATCAGGAATGTGTTCAGCGTGGACACAGGCTACCGCCTGTCAGATGAACAGATGGTTAACCACTTCCCCAACCACTATGAGCTGACCAGGAAGGACCTGATGATCAAGAACATCAAACGCTACCGGAAGGAGCTGGAGAAAGAAAGCAGCCCGCTGGCGGAGAAGGACGAGAATGGAAAATACATTTATCTAGGTATCTAAAAATGCACATTTATCTACCGCTCTTCTCTTTCCCCTCATAGACGCACAAATCATCGATATGTGACAAACCTGATTATGTTCATTATCTATATTTCTCCATGTTATGTGCAGATTTTGTGCCCGTGACGTTCATGCTCCCGGCCGATTACAATTTGTTTGTGGAGGAGTATCGAAAGAATCCGTCCAGCACCTGGATCATGAAGCCCTGCGGGAAGGCCCAGGGCAAAGGCATCTTCCTCATCAACAAACTGTCCCAGATAAAGAAGTGGTCCAGAGACAGCCGCACCTCCACGTGAGTTAACAGAGACATCATAGTAACATGCACGGCTGCAGCCATTACATGCGCTGTGTTTTGTATTTTCAAATTCTTCTATTTAATGGAAAAACTATCAGAAATCCTCATGTTTTAGCTGTAATTTCAACATTTTAAATATGTGCTCTTTAACACCGGTATAATCTACTTTTTGAGGATTTGATTTCGAGGTAAACATCCAAAACTGCTCATGATCATTCTTATAAAATCAGCTTGGTCAGAGGTTGTGTTTTTCTTGCTGATGTTTGTTGTCTTGCTGTTTGCCGCAGGTTTGTAGCAGCTTCTAGTGGTAAGGAAGCGTATGTGATCTCCCTGTACATTGATAATCCTCTGCTGATAGGAGGGAAAAAGTTTGACCTGCGTCTCTACGTCTTGGTGACGACATATCGACCTCTGAAATGCTACATGTAAGACCTGGCAGCTAGCATCATTCAATAATCTGACAAGTTTTCTCACTAGGTTTTTGTGTTTTTATCGTAAAATATCATATCAATCCTTTTTCACAGCCCGTTCCTGATTTTATTGAAGTTGTTGATTTCACTCTTTCAGGTACAAGCTGGGCTTCTGTCGGTTCTGCACAGTGAAGTACACGCCCAGTACGAGTGAACTAGACAACATGTTTGTTCACCTCACTAATGTGGCCATCCAGAAACATGGGGTGAGTCTGTATCATGTCTGGTCCTGTTTTAAAAAGTGTTTGGTTCCAGTATATTATTATATTATGTTGGAATTTAAAGGGGTATTCTTACAATCTGGTATTGCACCTCCATCAAGTTGGGGGTCTCAGCATACAGCAGATGCCATAACATCCTTTGGAGAGCTCAACTCAGAGCTAATGAAGAAACATTCAACTGTTTTCATGTGTAAAATTGGTGGATTGCTCCTTTAAGCTTAATCATGAATGATGGAGCTTTTGAGGCAGTTTTTTTTCCCCATAGTTGATCTTAATACACCTGTTTGCCTCTGATGCAGGATGACTACAACCACGTTCATGGAGGCAAGTGGACGGTCAGTAACCTACGTCTGTACCTAGAGAGCACGAGAGGAAAGGAGGTGACGGGCAGACTCTTTGACCAGATCCACTGGATTGTGGTGCAGTCGCTGAAAGCTGTGGCTGTGAGTAGACGTGATGTAGAAGTTCTGTTTTTACTCATGTGACAGTTTCTCTCACAGACTGTTTGACAATAAGAGCCCAACTGATTTTTGTGTTCTTGGTAGACAGATATTTCTTTATTCTACCATCTGGAATAGTGTTTTTCATAAATCCTGGGCAACATGACCTTCGATTGCTCAGTTGTTAGAGTGGAGGACTGTCGTGGCAACGTCAGGCCTCCTTGTTCAAATTAGATTAGAAAGAGTGACTTTTCTTTTTGTTGTGAAACATATTGTCCAACACTGCGACACACTTAAGTAATCTTAGGTTTTAATGGTGAAATAATTGGTAGATATGTCTAAAGAAATTGAATTTCTGATTCCTGGTGGAATCTAAAGCCATGTTTGATGTCTGTAGTTTAAAATGTTTTAAAAGCCTCTAAGAAAGATGTCTTTTTGTTTTAAGCCCAACACTGCACTCAGCTTAATACACACTTCCATCTCCTTCTAATTGAGCTAATCCACTTCCCCTCTCAGGCCTCTACCCTCAGGCAGCTGTGTGCCAATAGATACGTCCGCCGGTGATGTATCACAATCACTAATCCTTTCATTTCTCGCTCTCACGTGCTCTCTGTCTCTTATTTCTCTCAGCCCGTGATGAACAACGACAAACACTGTTTTGAATGTTACGGCTATGACATCATTATCGATGACAAGCTGAAGCCGTGGCTTATTGAGGTGAGTAATTTAACGAGGAGTTTAAGGATTTTATTACGCACATATACACACCTACAAAGTCAAATAAAAAACGGTTTAATTGAGTAAATATTAACCCCTGCTTCATAAAAACAAGTTTTTGCTCAGTTCCTGAAGGCAGCAGTTGCTTATTCTAACCAAGCCCAGAGATACTTAACATGCTTTCCCGGTGACTTCACTTTGCTTTGAATGTTGAGCAATTTGAAATGGCCTTGAGGTTGATCTTTGTGTGCCTGTTTGGATGTGTGCTGAAGGTGTTTCTTAAACCCATGTTAGTTTGATTGTTCAGGTTGTAGAACATTACTGTGTGTGAACCAAGTGATACAGGCTGGTACAGGCTAATCGCTGGCTGGTGTTTTCCTTAAACTAGAAGCCTTCTGTCATTGTTGTCTCTGGTTTCTTTTACCGAATATCATGCTTGTTGAGAAGCTGTCATCTTTTTACTGCACTCGTTCCTGACAGCTGCAGGAACAAGTTGCTGGGTTTCCAGGCTAGGTCTCAACTATTTCTGTTCACAGACACCGATCTGATCTATTTTGGTCGACACAGTTGGTTGTAGGGCATGTGCGCTCCACAGCGACAGACGGATCAAACATGTGCCACAAACCTAGTCAGGAGCGCTTTCTGTCATTCATTAGTCCTGCTACGAGCTCTGTTTCTGGTTGACCTCACAATAGTTGTTGAGGAATGTATGTTCATAGCCAACCCTCATTAAAAAGGTGTATCACCAGAGTAACAAAATATGTCTTTGTGTTTATACTCAAGGAAGTAAGTGTGTGTGTTTTGATTTCAGAGTAATTGCTTAATCTCTCTTTGAGCACTCATGCTACTTTTCTGGTGTGTATCTAGTATGTGCGATCAGCTGTTACAGCACAGTTGCAGCTACATTTCCTGCCTGATAAGAAATCTTGAATGTGATATTTCAAGTCCACCATTAGAGAATTTCTTCACAAAGGTCACAGTGACCTCTTGGGAGTCTGGATAAAGAAACATATGGTGCTTGCCCTGGTTGTTGGAGGCGGTAATTCTAGTTATAAACTATATGTCCATGTGTTTAGAAGCAAAACACCTTCTCATCAAACATGAAATGTTTAATATTCAGTTTTTCTCTACTCCTCAGGTCAATGCCTCTCCCTCGCTCACCTCCAGCACAGCCAATGACCGCATCTTGAAGTACAACCTCATCAACGACACCCTCAACATCGTTACGCCCAACGGGGACATCCCAGACTGCCGCTGGAACCGCAGCCCACCCCGGGAGGCCCTGGGCAACTACCAAGTCCTGTGAGTGACACTGAAATCCATCAGCTATGTTCAGACACACTCTTGCTGAGGAGGGTCACACAGCAGCTAAATATAGCAATCAAAAGTGAACGCCCGCCCACTAGTCCCGGGGGCATTTCTGTGATATCTAACCCTTCGATAGCTCAGTTGGTAGAGCGGAGGACTGTAGTGGAAATGTCAGGCATCCTTAGGTCGCTGGTTCAAATCCGGCTCGAAGGAATGTTTTAATCCAACAATGTCGTCCAGCTCCATCTGAAACAAGCTCATGATTTGACGAAACAAGTAAATGCTGAGCTTTAAATAATTAAACATCTCTTCACTCTCATAGTTAAACAGTAGATGACAAGTAGCAGCAGTATATGTATGGTTTACTTCATTTTATCCAGAAAAGTCTTCACTGTTTAGTTTTTGTATTATTATACTGTGATACAGGAAATTTCAAAATGTGAAAAAAAAAATTCTAGGTGTTTAAAAAGTAAATCTAATTATGGTGCTATAGAGGAAAAGTCAGCGTGTTGCATCATCTGTGGACCAGAAATGTCCATTGTGATATGCCGTGGTGAATTGACTGACTTATATTTTAAGAGTACTGGACATTTTATCAAAAAATAACATTTTGACCAGATAATGGGGTTATATGAATTAACAGGAGACCAAATGTATTGTTATTCATCCTCCTGGGACAAAGAATGGTGTTGTGATATTTCTATAGGGGTCTTAACAGTCAACGTCATGGTGTTGTTGGAGGACGAATGAGGGGATTTTGCAGGGGAAGTCATTTGGGGACCGGGAAGGTTTTTTGTGGTAAGTAAGTGCTTATTGACGTTGCGCTGGTTAAAACTTAACTCCTTCGAGCCGGATTTGAACCAGCGACCTAAGGATGCCTTGCATTTCCACTACAGTCCTCCGCTCTACCAACTGAGCTATCGAAGGGGCAAATATGTGTTTTGACAGGGGGCAACTGGACACTGGACTCTGTGCACAATGCATGGCTGTCAATGGAGGGTCCATTCTCAGTTGTTGGGAGGTTGATATGTGCTCACCAGTGTTGTTTGAGTTAAGCACAGTAGAGTGGAGTGCTTTAGTAACTATGTTAGTCCTCCTAACTACAAGGATGATAGCTGCTAATGAATGGAATGGAAAACATCATGTTTGGCGCACTGTTGAAAGCAGAAGAGTTTTGTTGTGGCAGCGGCAGAGATCCATGACTCAGTGGGTACATCCAGTTTGAAAAAGCAGCATCTGTCAAAACAAACTGTTCGACATCTGGTCAGCACAAGGGCATCAACCCTTCTGCCTGTACTCTTTTCCAAGTGCACTTGTGGTACGTGAGGGAAAGTCAGATTCATCTGGGTGGAGGAAGAAAATGGTGCATAGCAAAACGTCTAATTGCTGATGAGATAATACACTCTGCACTTAAGTGGTGGATTGATTCGATTCAACCAGACTAGGCTGGTGTAATCCTGCCCTCTCGTTACTTTACAGTAAAGTGCATAGTAGTAACATACTGAGGACCATGACAGGCTAAAAATTCACTCCTTCAAGCTGGATTTGAACCAGCAACCTAAGGATACTTCCAAATTCTAATACAGTCCATTTTCAGTTGTATGGAGATAATGTGTACTTAGAGCTCACCAGGGAGTATTGTCGTGAGTTGAGCACAGCTGTTATCGTGGAAGATTGCAGGTTACACTTGCACCCACTGTGAAAATGATAGTCGGATTGATCCTCTGGGGAACATCAATATCTGTGCATTATTTCATACATATTTTTGAATCTTACTGTTGACTTGTGAAATAAGTAGATCAGTTTACATTGTCATTCTGTAATCATGTACAAAGTATGGCCACATCACCAATATTGCAAGATATGCAATCAGGGGACTTTAAACATCTGTTCAGATATTGCAGTGGTTGTATGACTCACATTATCCTCCGTGAAGTGGCTCGCATGGTTAAAATGCCACTCCTTCGAGCCGGATTTGAACCAGCGACCTAAGGATATCTTGTATTACACCTACAGTCCTCCGCTCTACCAACTGAGCTATCGAAGGGCTGGGTGTGTTGTTGTTTGGTCATAGCCTACTCTGAATGGTTGTGGGGGTAATGTTTGCTTAGTGCTTACTCGGGGGGTATTGTTATCGTTGAGCCTCTTGTTTTCCATGTAAAAGCAAACAAAGGTGGCGACAGGAACTCGCTCACACGTGTTGCTGTACTGCATTACCCCACTGACACACTCCTCTTGGTGTCACCAGGTACGACGAGGAGCAGGCACAGAGCGAGAATGCTGAGCGTGACCTGCGGAGCCGCTCAGGTCAGTCGCTGGGGTCAAAGGGCACCAAGGGGAGTGCAGGCATTCGCCCCGCTGCCGCCACCTGGAAGTGAGGTGATATGATTGACTCTTAATGGCTTCCTGTACAATATTACAGGGTCCAACAGTGGGGCATGGGGGATACAAAAAAAAAAGGACCATCCAGACTTTTTTTTTACTCCAATTATCCAACAGAGGACTGTTCTCTCTCCACATTTGACTGACTGAGGCACACGGGGCAATAACCCTACTGCTGGAGGGGAGAAAACCAACAATGAGGTCATGTTGCATTTGGAGTTTAAAGGTTGGAAGCTGTTTGTATCAATGTGTAACCAGGAATGTTAAAAAAAATGGTATGTGGTGTCAGTGAGGTCAGAACAAGTTTTGCTCTCTTGAAACGGTTCTTGACCCGGACCAAGCTCTTTACAAAGACAAGGAAAAATGACCCAAAAATGCTCTGATATAAGAAAATATTGAATGAAACCTCATGAGACGACTCTGACAGCCGGAGATTTGAGGTACCTGCCACAAATAGAAAAGTGGCAGATACACAAAGTCAAAAAAAGAGTTGTGCCAGTTGGAAAACAAAACGCATAAATCCAACATGAGCAAGAAGAATTAAAAACGTGAGCTATGCATGATTACTGAGCACTGACATCTTAACTCGACTCACCACACAGATGCTATGAAGGAGCTCTGTGAGATGAACTGAATGGAAATAAAGATGAAAAAATTAAAATGTTTTAGATATGATTTATTGATAGGCAGATGATACTGAGATAGATATAATTAACAGAAAGAAAATGTATAATGACCCTGAAATAGATTAATTTAATAATTTTTTATATGTTCATTATCTGTATATGTTCATTAAGATTGATTGTATTCAGTGCTGAACCTTGTTGCACTTTATCACTTTATTTAAAGATATCCCATGATGCATTTTGAGTTGGACTGCTGCATATTTTCACATTCATCTTAAATATAATTTTTTTCCTGCAGAGGCTGAGATATTGAATCAGTGATGATGAATAAACGTCCATATTTTTTATTTAACTAATGTTGGGCTGAACAGTATAGTTCATCTTGTTTGAATATCACAATGCCTCCAGTATAATGTTAATGCTAAAACAGTATCAATCAAACCATAGACTGTATATAAAGATGGACGACACATCTCCACTTCCTCCCACTCTCTAGAAATGAAGACGGATACGATCACTGCCATCTTGTGCCTATGATGTCATCTGGAGCCAATTGGAGTTCCTGGACAAATTAACACTTGAACAAACATCAGTGTGAGAAGAACTATTTAAAATCACTGAAACCATCGTAGAGAAAAAATATATTTGAAGTGTACTTCAGGTGTCCATGTCCTATCTACTAACATGGAGGAGGCGAGGTTTATGGCCTACACTGCAGCCAGCTACCAGGTGGCGATCGAGACATTTTGTCTTCACTTTTGTGGAGCTGTCATGTCGTCAATCCTTATTTACAGTCTATGATTGAAACCTATTCTGATGTATGCTTTTGTATGAGTAGTACCTTGAAAATTGTTTCCTCTTCTTTCCCCTCATGAACAAGGAAAATACAGTCACATGTGTATTGATCTATTATTTCCTTCTAAATTCCCCTGTAGCCGTCTGACCTGTGTCAGTCATTGCTAGAAAGTGAGATATAAGCATAATGATATTCCTCTGTATGACATAGTCATCATTTCAATTCATTTTAATTTTGGGTCTTGCTTTCAATAAAATATCCATATTGGTGCTGCCTAGACATGTTTTTACATTCAAATCAGGGGTAGGTAGAAGTATTGACGCATTTAAACCTAATTGATTTGCAAGAATCAGTTAGACTGCAACTGATGAAGAAAAAATAGCACTTCATATGTACAGCTCTAGATCTAATAGTGTCTTACACAACACTGCATTAAATAAATATCTGGCCATATTTAAAAAGTTAACCGCTTCTGCTTGAGTAAAAGTGTCTGTATTTATATTTGCAAATTAACAAATATTCATGAGAAGACACCAGAACGATACTTTTCTAAGGTAAGTTAATGATGTGACAAACCTCATCATCATCAAGACCTGAGGGGGTTTCATAGAATTGCATTACATGTTCTGAAATGAGCTGAAAAGCAATACACCCTCCAAACTCTTCCTCTGATGAGTTTGTAAGAGAATCCACTTGACCCTTATGTGACTCCTCATTTACTCATTTTACAGCCACAAGTCTCTCCAGGATCCTCAGACCCCCTGTTGGGAACCACTCAGGGTCCTCTGGATGAAGTGGCCCAAGGGATGTGACGTCAGACAGGCGCGCCTCTTCATAGTTTACAAAAAGCTCAACAGTCTTCAATAGACTGAAACATCAGGAAGTCTGTTTATCAAAGTAAAAGTTTCATGTTAAATCATAAATAAATAGCTGTTACTGCAAAATACTCCCAAATATCAGATTTAGAATCTGGGTTTATTGCAAGTAGGTTTACACATACAAGGACATTTTCTGTGGTGTGTGTGTGTGTGTGTGTGCAAGCATAAATACAATATAATATAAACACAAAAAGTCGACATGTAGGCTTAAATCATGGTGTAAATGACACTGTTTCCAGTCTAATTTGAATCTTGGGGCTTATGGACACTTATGACACCACAGGAACGGTATGGAGGCTTTTTCTGTTGTTTCTTTGAAGAAGAAGAATTGGTCACTATTGACTTCAGTTGTTTTAGATTTGGCTGCAACGCAATTTACCGAAACACTTCATCCACCCCTCCATCGGCACATTGGTGAGTAGATATGATGAGCTATCCCTTTAAATTGCAGAAAATATAAGTCACACTCATTTATACACTGTTTTAAGGTGCTTGGCAAGTCTACGAAGGTAGACATAGGAAACAATTAAAGAAGCATATAAAAGGAAATATTTAAAAGTCATCCGAAGATCAGAACATTAGAACACAAATACAAGAATAAAAAAGTGGTTCTTTAAGTTTCTTATTATTTTCCTTTCCCTTGAAAACAAATGCGGCCTCTCCTCGGTTTTACTTTGAAAGTGCTGACAGGATGTGCGGTGTGGCTGTGACTCCCGGTAACTGACGCTGGTGTCAGTCAGTCGATCGGTGGTTCCGCTGCCGAGCGGAGAGAACGGCCCGAAAAAGATTCGTTAACCGGCACCGAGGAGAGAAACGACTGTTCAGCCGAACACAAACCGTCCCGAGGAAGAAACCCAACCCAGGTGAGCTCACACGGAGACTTCGAACTTCCACAATTCAAACTTTTTTTTTTTTTTTTTTTTTTTTCGTACTTCAGGGGCGCAGCGGCTAATTCGCTAACATTAAAGCTAGTGCGCTAACGTTAAAGTTCACTGACTGTTGCTTCGACACTGTTTGACTCGGAGATATTTAACACGTGAGTCCATGTGTGGAAATGCAGTTGAACTAGTTTCACACTGATTCTCTGTAACTTGGTTTTTTTTGTGTATCGCGGGCGTTGGGATTTTAAAACTCCTCAGATTTAAGCTAGCGCCGTCAAGTCGCAGTTTAACGAACCGCCGTTGTCATTAATGGTGGATTTGAGTTTGTTTCGAACCTGGTTCGGTCCTGAAGAGGTGTCTTAGCTTCGCTGTCTCTCGCCGGGAGACACTCGTGTTTCGTTGCCTGGAGTGATAAAGGGTGGGGCAGTTTACACGAGCCAAGATAACGTTAAGTCCGTGTCATGCCACCCTGCACATGTTTACATTACAACATATAGAAAAGTCCACTTCTCAGCTGCCGCCGCCGCAATCTGCTGCTGCAGGGCCACACGAGCTGCCAAGTTCACCCTCCTGAGTCCTGGACTGGACATGCACACCAAGTTTAATCCACGGAGAGATGTGTTAGCTGATTTATTCGACTCTTGAGCTATTTTAATGCGTTTCACAGTGAGATCAACACGAGCTCATTAATCACCGGGGACAGAGAAGCCTGGGCCAGAACTCATGGTATTGTAATGAATGAATCACTGGAAGTTATCAGTCATCATGAAGTAACATTAAAAAAAAAAAAAAAGTGTGTGGTTTGTTGTTTGTATGAGGAGTAGTGTTGTCAGGAAACAGCAGTAGTGAAAGCCAATGTGGAAAGGCTGCTGGTTCCCTTTTTAAAAAGCGGGTGTGGGTGTTCAGCTGAGTTAAAGTTAGAATTGATGTTCCAGTTTAGGCTGCGCTCCAGTTAAGGATCTGTGTTGGCGTGTTACTCTTGCAGTGCTGTGTCTGATTGGCATAAATAAACCTCCCTTAATGAACATTTTTAAATTCAAAGGGATTAGAAACTAGAACGACTGAATTCTCCACGAAATGAATCACAAATCAGACTCTCCAAAATTGCTTAATGTGCTTTCATAGCTGAGACCATAGGCCGTGTATAAAGATGGACGACGCGTTTCCACTTCCTCCCAGGATTCAGACATGAAGCCAAAATGTCCGACTTACGAACGCTGCCTTCTTGCGTTGATGACATTATTTGGAGCCAGCGTCTGTGCCGTAGTGGGGAATGGAGCTGTGGTATTGAGGTCCTGTCGATTCAGGTGCTTGGATTCAAGGAAATCAGAACTGGAATTTTTCTGACATCTTATAGATTCAATGATCAATCAAGGAAATAATGACCAGTCGATAATAAAAATAGCTGCATCCTTTCTTCCCAGGTCCTCTGGTTATTGTAAACACTTGAAATACTCTTTAGAAAGTTTAAAAGTCAAAAATACTGTTCCTGTGTGATTATTGTCTTCTTCAGAGGATCTCTGATGTGGACAGAGAACAACTTTTAAAGGTCAAAAGATGATGAACTTGCTTTCATGGCACTTTCCTGAAATGTCTGCAGCTTTAAATGCATCACATGAGAATATGCCTGCCGGTGACATACAGATCTCCACTTCCCTGTCATGTAATACTGAATTTCCCTCCATTATGTTCTTCTCCGCGCTGTAGACGCTTCCAGTGGAAAATACCTGAAAGTGTGGAACAAATGCCATTGTTTCCCCCTGTCCATAGAGCAAATGGTTTTTGAGCAGGCGGAGCGGTCAGTTATGCCTCAGCTACTGTTGACATTGGTGTTGATGGACTAACGGTTGCATTGTCTTGTGTTTGGATTCACCCAACTGTTGAATAAAGCTCTGATATAAAGGCTGGATATAGGTGTAAGTCTGTAATTGGGAGACTCTACATTTGAAAGACCATATTCCTGGTCGCTGCAGCTGTTGAGCTCACATGAGGAAAGAGGGCAGAGGTGATTGACTGACAGGGAAATAAAATCAAGGCTGTGACCTGCAGTGGCCATGGAAACTTCTGACCTTCAAGCTTGAGGAAGCAAAGGAATGACTGTATTATTTTTTCTCTCACAGCTCAGTCGGGATTTAGTTACGTCCTGCTGTGGAATTGCAATATTGAAGGGATAGATCAGCTCAGCCGCACTCCCCCCTCCGTCTGTGAGGTATTGCAGGCGTTTAATGCAACAAAAGAAGGAAACGGAAACATACAAAAAAAAAAACACCCGTCGTCAGATAAGCAATTTTCATTTGGAAGCATAGAACACTTAGTATGCTTTCAGCTCTTATATAATCACTCTGTCTTCCTGAAATGTTCATGAACAGAGGGGCTGGTATTGTCAAGATTGTGTGTGTCATTATTGCAAAATTATGTCATGGAGATACTAACTGTAAGAGAAATTACAACCGTAATTTAGGTGTTTGTACTTGTTTATCTATCTGTCTGTCCATGTGTCTGTCTGACAGTCCCTCTTTTTGTTGACAGATTTTCTCACCACGGTAGGGTCATAACCGTGCACGAAACTTAAAGGTGCCTAGTTAAGCTCAAAATGAGGGTGGAGTTTGAAAATGGGTTTGGTCTAACTCACAGGTACTGAGTACTCATGTAATAATATAGTAATAATTATTGATTACTCATGTGGGAACGTCAACATGTTAATGGATGGTCTGAAGATGTGATCCCATTGCAATATGATCTCTAGTTAGCATTCATACTGTGATGATGAACAAGTAGTAACTCTGCTTACTGCACATGTTCCCCCTCTCCAGCAGCTACTGAGTCAGATAGAGGGAATTTTTGAGATTGTGTGACATTAACATGTCGATGTCCTTGCTACACGCTCTGATAAGACTCTGTGTCTGATTCCACTAAAGTTTTAAACAACCTAACCTCACATATCTAACAAACATGATTCTTCCTCTGGATCAGAAATGGATACTTCTAAAGTGTACGTGCAGTGTGTGTCTCTGGGTGCTCTCATAATTGTTTTCTTCCATTAATAGAAACACACACACAGATTTTAAGGCTGGTCAGCTGTGTGTGTGTGCTCATCTCTTTGGTCGTGTATCCTGTTGTTTCCTGCTCCTCTGCTTGGTTCCTGATCCTGACACTGCTTCTGTGACCTCCAGAGCACTTTGAGAAATATAAACATGGCGTGAATAGACAGCTCGTGCTGGTTTGTGGGAAAGAATATGTTCCTGTACACAAGGATGTGTTTGTCCTGCCTCTCTTGCATAGACGTGTCTCCTACTTCGCAGGACCCGTAAGGTCAGGTATCGACATTCTAGAGGCAAACGAGACAGTTCAGTTTCATTTTGTCCTTCTTAGTATACCGTCTATGATCTCTTCCTTTAATTATGTCTTCATCTCCTTTGAATTGCACCCTCCTTACACCAGCTGCAAAAGGACACTTGGATCTCATGTCTGTTGCTTCGTCATGACTCAAGTTCAGCGTTCATGTGCTTTTAATAACACAAGAGTCACCTTTTCCTTTTGCTGTCTCACTCTGCATTGCCTCCCCTTTTTAGCTGGGCGGCTGCTGCTCTCTGCATCACCATTCAAAAATAATCTACTTTAAAACCACATCTAGACTCATCTGCACAAGTTACGATGCAAGTTTATGTATTTGATAAATGAGAGGAAAAATGACAGCATGGGAACTTGCTCATGATGCCAAGGTTCAGTTGAGGCATGGAAGCACTGAGGAATGCATTTGTTCACTTCTATCTTGAGACCGATTTAAGCAGCCAGATTCCAGTGTGCTCAGTTCATTTACTTATCAGCTGTTAGTGGATATCATTGTTGTGTTTGATTACGTAATCTCAAAGACTGTAATGGTAAAGACCCATATTCACACAAGTTTCCTGCAGCCTTGATGGAATCATGCATTTGTTGCCAAGACAGATTGTCTTGGTAATTATTTGTCACTGCTTATTTACATGACAATAAGACAATGTTAAATATCAGTTTATCCATTAAGCATTGTTTACATATTCTCTTCATTCCCATGTGGTTTTTTGGGGCTTGTGCGTAGCGGCAGAGTGTTGAATTTTCCAGCGTGCTCCTGCTGAGTGACAGATTGAGTGGACTTCAGACCACAGCTTAGTCAACAGCATTGTTTACAGTTCTGGGTCAAGCCATGTACAATTGTTTAACACAGCCCCCCCACACATGTCCTACAGAGCCAAGGGTGTGCAGACGCTTGTTCCTGTTTGCTCCTGATTATATCAGACCTAGGAAAAGAGCTTTTGTGCTGAAGGAATTCCCAATACATTGTTGTAGATATTGTAGATGTTTTTGGCTTGCAAGGTCATTTTCCTTTCATCAGTGTAATTTAAAATCTAGTCATTAGAATAAAACTGTCTACGTCAAAGGACATTTACATTCCTACAGAGTTTTGTGATTTATCGATTTATTTTAATGATATTGCTTGTCTAAGGGCACTTTCATGCTGACCTTATTTGGTCTGAACCTTCAGACTATAATGACCATAAACGAATGATGTTTGAATGACGAGGACGTTCCAGTTAATTCATTTTCTCCATTAAAATGGAAAGACTACACCCCTCCAAATTGACAACAGGCAGCAATTGTCAGATGCACACTACACATCTACAAACCAATCAATGTCAAGTACAGGTCGATGCAGGAGGAACTTGTCACACTGTAAATCACTCTGTTTTGATTGTTAAGATTGGGTTGTGGAGGTTTCTCTGTAGCAGCGACACTTGTTGCCATGTTAGAGCAGATATTTGTGGCTTGCTCCATGTGTCCTTCTCTGGTGCTGCGGTAGTGAATGAAGAAAATGGACAGCTGGTGAGGAAAAGTCTCAAGGAGCTAGACAACAAAAACTGTGTGGGCGAAGTGTGATCTTCATTCTCAGATATGAGCTTTTGTCATCATTTCTGGACTTGTTTCACTTTCTCTTTTAAAAACACACAGGAGTATTTATGCATGGTACAGTCCTGTATGTGCTTTTTGTGTGTTTGCGTGTTTGTGGCCAAAAGCTTTTTGATTCAAAATTATTTAAATTCTGATTCTCAAAAGAAATACTGAAATCATAGACACAAATACAGCTTGATTATTATAATGATATTAACTGTTTTCTAAGGCTAATTATTAATTGACAAAAGGTTCTGAAACACATTAAACTGTCCCCTGACTCCCTTTTTTCTCAGATTATGCTTTTGATCTTTTATATTGCTCAAATATTTAATTTTAAGTTTCGGTCATGTCAAAACAATAATCACATTTTCTCTGGAAATATGAAAGATAACATCTGTTTTTGTGGTTGTGGCTTTGTGTGTATGTGCGTGTTTGTGTGTTTGGCTGTGTGACTGACCTGATTGTAAACTACAAATACAGTTAAAGGGAGGATTGTTCATTCGCCTCATCGGCCTGTGGTGACCACAATACTACCCTCTGTCCAAATGCTGCCCTTGAGGGGCATGGGCCACTAACCATTGACCAACACACACACGCACACAATGCATCTTCTGATCACAAGTGGACCGCTCCAAATTAGGGGTGGGGAATTTTGTCATGAATCACATTTAGGTGACTGTATCTGACGGTCATATGTTTATTTAATTGTGATTATTTTAAAACCAGAAAAATAGTTTCGGCTATTAAGAGAATCATAACTTTAAATATATGTACGCACCCACACGTGTGATGGATGTGGCTTTGTGCATATATATATATATATATAAATGTGTGTGTGTGTGTGTATGTATATATGTTTATATATATATATATACACACACACACACACACACAAACACAAACACACAGTCATTGGTAGTCTGTCTCAGCTGGACAAAACCACGGTCTGAATGTATTTAGTTGCATGAGATACTAGAGAGAAGAGCCTCTTCTCTTCTCTAGTATCTCAGGCTGAGGATGAGGAGTAGATGAATGAGAAAATGGGGAAGAGGATAGAGGAGAGGAATGAGGGGACAAATAAAGAGAGACTGTTTAGGGGGGATGTTGGGTTTGCAATGGATGTGAGGACAGAGGAGGGGGAGAGGAGAGTAACAGAGGACTGTCTGTGGAAGCAGTGAGAAGGATACGGAAGCTGCCTGCTGTGTGCAGTCTCTTTTTCTATCTAGCTGAAACACACACACACACACACACACACACACACACACTCTCTCTCTCTCACAAACACTGAGTCACTTTGAACACTTCTGTAGTTCAGCTGAGACTGTGCTGCTGCCAACAACCACTGTGGATTGATTTGGTCCCGTGTTGAATGTGATGAGTTTATAGAGATGGATGAAAACACCCACCTGCTGCCTCCATTCTCAAACCACTTCTCACACTTTCTCTTCCCTTAAATTTCTTCCACTCTCTGTATCACTCCTGTTATCACTGTTGGTTTGCTGCTGTAGGTTTTATAGTACACACAGAGAGATAAAGAGATCAATGGACTAAAAAGATGTCTCTGATCATTGATGTTAAACCAGATATTTTTTCACCGAAGATTTCTGGTATTACATTTTGCTCTTGAAATGATTGTTTGTAGATGCAGATATTCTGTGTAGTTGTTTGTCTTTGACTCAGTGGCGTCGTTGTATTCATCACATTCACATAAGTTTTTGTTTTTATTTTTCCAGGCCCTACAAACTGAGTGTAACTTTGGGCAGCAGCAATGTCGGGCTCCTACGAGGACTCCATGATCGATGTCTCCAGTGATAGTTTCTGGGAGGTGAGACACATAACTTCCTCTGCAGGTCCACATTTAACATGTATTTGCTACTTCCCTTCCTCACCTCTCTGTCTCTGCTCCTGGTTCTCAGGTCGGTAACTACAAGCGAACAGTGAAACGGGTAGACGATGGCAACCGGCTCTGTAATGACCTGATGAACTGTCTCCATGAGCGGGCACGTATTGAAAAGTCGTACGCACAGCAGCTCACAGAATGGGGCAAACGCTGGCGGCAACTTGTAGACAAAGGTACATAAGAAAAATGCTTCAAATTCAATTCTGTTCTAATTTCCAGAATCACTACTTAGAACATAACATATACATCAAAATAAATGTCAAAATACTGACAGGTGATTAACTCTTTCTCAGGTCCTCAGTATGGTACATTGGAGCGGGCTTGGTCTGCTCTGTGTACAGAGGCAGAGAAAGTGAGCGAGCTCCACATGGAGGTGAAAGCAGCGCTGATGGGAGAAGACTACGAGAAACTCAAGAACTGGCAGAGAGACTCCTACCACAAACAAATGATTGGCGGCTTCAAAGAGAGTAAAGAGGCTGAGGACGGCTTCCGCAAGGCTCAGAAACCCTGGGCCAAGAAACTCAAAGAGGTGCGTATTTCTTCAAATGTGTCAAACATTTTTGCAGGCTAAGAGTGCCAACATACAAACAAACAAACTATAATGCATTTCACCTTTCCTACAAGTATTTTAATGAATCATGATTAATTTCATCAGTTACATGTCTTAACGATGATGCTGTGGATGAGAAGCACAGGTCTCATCTGGCTTTAAAGAGAAGCACACGGATTAAAATCAGTTTTACCATTCACTTCACATGATTACACATTACTGACTCGCCATTGTCTCTTTTCTCTCCATGACTACCTGCTTACTAAACAACAAGCACACACAGGGACATTTGTAACCTCTCAGTGCTGCTCATGAACGTGAAGCTCCTGCCAAATATCAGTCACATTGTGCCGAGGTGGCAGCCAGTTATCCTGTCAGACTTTGATTGTCAGTAGAGAGGAAGGAAACACCAAGGACACTGTCACCTCTTAGTTCAAAATAAGTTCCATTTATTTCCTACTAGTGCGTTCATCTTGGCAGCCTGTTTACTTTGCAGCACTAAGCTCCTTTATGTTTCTGTGAAGGTTCTTATACACACGTACAAGCCAATAAGCTGCTGAACATTTTTGCAACCTCCTTCCCCCCCGTTTCCTGTGAGAGTGATGTCACCAGAGGGGTTGTGACATCCTGGCCTTTTCACTGAGCAGACACAGAACAATGCAGTGTCGCAGCCATAGTGACTTATTGATCGACAGTATAGACGAGGACAAGTGGTAGAGGGCAGAGAGGAAATGAGGGTAATTAATTGGTCTAGAAAACGAGGGGCTGACATGGATGATGTAGGCAGAATGTCAATATGAAGGGAGTACATACATTCAGAATGAGAGTGTTGAAACTTGGACTGGATATAGAGGAACAAATGACTGACAGTTTGACCAAATTAAAGAGAAAGTGAGTTGTTAGGCTTAAGACCCTGTTCAGACCTGGTAACAAAAGACGCATGGGGCCACATTCTGTGACCGGTGTGGCTCAGTTTGAGATAAAGTCTAACAGAAGGTCAGTGGTTCAATCCCCTGTTCCAGTCTACATGCCAGAATGTCCTTGAGCTAATTGCCCTTGACGGCTCTGCTGACAGTGTTGGAATGGTATGTGATATAAAAAGCGCTGTATATAGAACAACTGTATAAAAGTGCTGTGTAAATTCTGTCCATTTATCATAGTTTTCGCTGTATCATAACAAATGCATCCTGGGTCACTATTGAAGGAACCGCTACTCAACTGACGCTAACCCTAACCCAACTGACTCCTCTGACATGATACAGTTTCACAGTGATTCTGACTTTTATTTAAGCTTTCAACGACCACAAGCACATTTTTTGTGGCCACAATTTCAACACGATCCACCACATGAGTTAAATCTATCTCTCGGCCAACACACTCACACACGTGCCACAGGTACATCTGTATAATCAGTTAAACACAACATATTTTGGTCTTCTTGAAGAGAAATGATGTGGGTGAATTTGCGTATGAAGGGGGAAGTAAGGTCTGATCTCAAGTGGTCACAGGACACACATTCAGGGCGTATTTTAATATCAGGTGTGAACAGACAAAATAAGCCCTGCCCATTTGTCATTGGATCTCTCTCAGGAAGTGTCCTTATGTCCACATTGTTTCTTTAGTAGTGACATGTCTGCTCTAGCCTCAGCCGAAGGTCACACTGTACTGCTCAAGAGACACTTTATAAATAAAACCAGGCTAGATCAGTTTGCTTACTCTATTTTTATCCGTCTGAGCATTACCTTTTTCCTCAAACAGATAAAGTAGTGGCTTTCTCATCATTTGTGTTGATATAAATTATATAAATTGGAATCCACAGGTGGAGACGATGAAGAAATCGTATCATTCTGCCTGCAAAGAGGAGAAGCTGGCAGCCAGCAGGGAGACCAACAGCAAACTAGAGAGCAACAACAACCCTGAAGCCCAGAAGAAGCTCCAGGAGAAGGTGGAGAAGTGTCAGCAGGAGGTGCAGAAGGTAAGACTTTCAGTAAATTGGGATGCGGTAGTTCATTTTCCTTTCAAATACAAATTCCTATTTGAATTGTCATCTCGTTGTCCAGACTAAAGAACGCTATGAGAAATCCCTTGAAGAGCTGGACAAGGTGACTCCTCAGTACATGGAGAACATGGAGCAGGTGTTTGAGCAGTGGCAGCAGTTTGAAGACAAACGCATCAGCTTCTTCAGAGAGTTGCTGCTGGAGGTTAAACAGCACCTGGACCTCTCAACCAATCACAGGTCAGACGCATGACATTGTCCCAAATAACCGAGTCTGTCAAAGATTTAATTAACCGCTCAGAAAATAATGTACTTCCTGTTCTGTGCCATTTCCCCAGATTCCAGACAATCTACAACACGATGGAAGACACAATCTCAGCCACTGACGCTGAAGAGGACTTGAAATGGTTCCGGTCCAGTCACGGCCCTGGCATGCCAATGAACTGGCCCCAGTTTGAGGTACGTTCATGAGAGGGGAAGAATGAATGTGGCTCTAAATCATTTTCATGTCATAAATACGTAAACAGATACACATCAGGTAAGTTGTTGTTGCTGCTGCCCTCAAAAGATGAATACACATAGTAATCGTCTTTATTTATTATTTATTAGGGTACTTAAGAGTGAAGTCCTTATTTATCTGGAGATGCCTACCATATCCTCTTAAGGAACATTGGTGCTCTGCAAGCTCCAACTGTGAGAAGCATCAGTCAGAAGGACAAGACACATGAAAATGTTTTGAGGGAAGAAAACTTCAAGTGGAGCGCTTCCATGTGCATTTATCCCAAGCGGGAGTTATAGCCTGGTGTCAGTTTTGTTGCTGAAGTGTGCTGTTTGGCAGCAGAAGTGGAAGTAAATCTCTCCTTAGCCATCGGGGGGGCGGCAGTGAGAGCGATGTTATGTCATCTTCTCAACAGGAGGTGAAAAATGAAAAAAAGGAAGGAAAGGCCAAAAACAAGCTGCATGTGCTTTCTGTGCTATAATTTATGAAGCTGCTGAGTGTTCTTGCAGGTATAACTGTTCCAGTGAGGCCCCGTTTACAACTTCCATCATTATTACTGCTTGGTTTTTGGACGACTTTTTGATAAAGAGGATTAAATATTCTGTCTGTCAAAATACACTCATACATAAGCCTCAGTGGTGTAGATGTGCACAAGAAACTAATGTCAAAAACAACATGCATGATCCAAGGTTAGTTGCTACTGCAAGCTACTGGCTGTTGTCATTTAGCTGTTTTGAGAAGCTGAAGTAATTTCAGAAGTAATTTGCTGATTTAGGTTCATACTCCTAGAGCCAGACCAATATGGATTTTTGGGAGCTAATGCAGATTTCACATCGGCATATTTCTGCAAAAATAAATGCAGATAATGTGTGTGAAAGATTCCTATCACCGATAAATCAGTTGGGTTTTAGTTGCTACATCCACAAACTAACATTTTTGCAGCTTATAGTTTGTACTTCTACAGTTTGGGGATTAGACATTGTTGTTTGCATTAACCCTGTTCTACACCTGCTTCCCTTTCCCCATGTCTGACAGAATTTGGACTGGTCCCATCCTCGCTCCTTTAAGAGAAGGTCCATTGTAGTGAGTTCTGCATGGGAGGGCTGTTCTGTCACAGCAGCCATGGGAGGGGGGGAGATCGTTTTTTTTTTTTTATAGCACTAACACACTCACCACTTACTGCTTCCATTTGTGTGTGTTTGAGGTGGTTGTGTTTGTATTTTGTAATTCAAGTTCCAAAGAATTATATACGATAGAAAAGTAAAATCTTAGTGCACAGACACCACTGTCTCTGCCATGTCTCTTCTCCTGTTAATGAAGGGATGTTTACGTAGCTTTTCCTGGATGTCAGAATTCCTAGAATCTATACCACTTTTTTTCGCAGCTCGTTGTTATTGTTCCTTTTAAACATTTGAGCTCTGACCCCTCAGTGACCCTCCTCAATCATTAGTGCTCTCCATGTGCAGTCGAACACCAGCTCAGCAGCGTCACTGAGTCTCAGGTCATCGGCCAGACCAGAACAACTTTGATCTTTAAAATTTGAGAGGCCTGAGAAATCAGAGCGGTCAGACGAGCCCTTTGGAAAGCTTGAGGTCACACATACTATTGTAATATATTATATAGAATTTATGAGAGGCTTCACAACTGCTGTCTGAATTATGAAAATAGAGTGATGAAACCAGACATGATGCTTCTGAGCAACATTTACAACTGAATTCATACACAAAAGACACTTTTTTTTTTTGCTCACTCTCCCTGGTTGGACTCTGGTGGAGGGGAGATCCCTGGGTGCTGTGTTTCTTTCAGAAGGTGATGGATTCTGTACATGTTTTTATCTCTCATTTCATCAGGTTTGCACAGTATTGTATAAACACACATGTGCATGTACAGTTTCAAAGTCCAGATTTGGTGCCACAGTCTGAGAAATGTTTCACAGATTGTTGGATTGTGGGATAAAGTGTGTGTGTGTGTGTGTTTATATTGCAGTGCCTGAGATGTTCTCCCACCGCTCTAGCAAAGTCAAAGTTAGTTGGCACAGTCACAGGTGGAACGTCTCACAATAATATGTGTTTATCTGTGTGTGTCTATCAGGACTGGTCCATTGACCTGAACCGAACGCTCAGCAGGCGAGAAAAGAAGAAGCCATCGGAAGGCGTCACGCTGACTGGCATCAGTCAAACTGGATCAGACCAGCCTGTTCAGCCTGTCAAGACCAGCAGCAGGTAGATATCTAAACACTTAACAAACACACATGAAACTGAGCACACACGCACACGCACCCACACGCACCCTCTCTGACTTTCCAATCAATACCTCTCCACATCTTAGTTAATCCACCGTTCTTAAGGAATCCTTGTAAAGCATTGCATAAGGGAAGGGAAGCTCCGGGACTGACGTCAAATTGGACGTTTCCATAGCAACAGAAAACATGTAGTTACAGTTTGCTGGGAAAGAAGTCATCCCCGAGAGACGGGGAGTCTGCTGGTCCATAGCTGAAAGCGAGCCAAAAGTAATGTGGAAATGTTACTCATACACACCGGGACCGTTCAGAGTATATTTATATTGGTACTGGAAAATTCAGAGAAGGCAGGGTTAGTGTAGTTGAAGTCAGAAACACTTGCACTTCTCTTTGGACGTTTCTGGTTCACATAAAGAATGAAGCAAAATTTTAATATTTGATTTAGATTTTTAGACAAATGGCAAGATATGGCACGTCATTTGTTTTTTAGTCCATCAAAGCAAAGAGAGGCCATGTATAATTGACTTTATTTGAGATTTACGCCAACAAAATCCTTTTTATCCTTCAATATTGATTTTGAATGCAGGACTTGTGATCATTGATTTAATCTTATTATGATTTAATTACATATAAAGTGATTAAATGTCTCTACAAGCTTCAGAACCTCTTGATGTTCATCTGGCAGCTCTTCATATTATGATGTAATGTTTCTGAAATGAGATAAGATAAAGAAGTTATTTTGCTCCTCCATAGAAATGTGTGTGTTTGGTGTTGTGGCAACAGTGGCGCATGGAAACGGCAACAAACAGTAGATGAACGTAAAACAAAAATGTCATGCAGCAATCATCACACTAAAAACATCACACAGAAATTGCACAGAGATGTATTTGGAAATATTTGAGCTCCTGTGTTTGTGTGTTATATTTTTCCGGGATTAAGTGCGGTTTGCTGTGACCTCCCTGGCCTGTGTCTTAATGCCTCACATTCCTCGGTGGCTCCATAATGAGGTTTCCTTTATGAATTAATGTACAAACACCTGCTCTCGGCTTATCCACACATCAGCACAAGTGGTGTGTGTGCAGTAATCATGAGCGAGGAGTATGTGGAGGAGTCAACACAGGGAATGTAAGGCATGGAAAGCATTTGACCTCTGAACTTGAAAAGGCTGAATGCTCTGCTGCTCCCTCAACCAGCATTTACACAGCACATCGCTTCCTCCATCTTTTGGCATGATCAGCGTGTGCATGTGCATAGTGGTGGAAAGAGAAAATGTGAAACAATTTGGATTTAGATTTATTGAAGGTTTTCAACATACAAGGGATTTAGTTTTGGGGTGTTTGGAGTATAACAAACACATTTTCTCATCCCACTCTGTTTTGTTAATTACGGTTATTTGTCACTCCTTGCCACTCTCCATTTTCTTTACATTTGCCTTACCCTGAGGTCACATGAAAGACGTGAGGTGGTCCCTCACTTCCTCTGCAACAACAACTGTGGGCGTGTTTAAGATTTGAGAGAAGAATATATGTGAAGATTCTCCATATGTTCATGATGGCTAGGTGTATAAAACTCCTCGGTGGCCAGCAGAGCTCCAGTCACAGATCTAAGAGCGCCCATATGGGGGTTAATAAGTCCTGATGCCGAGGACATTCATTTCTGTGATAAGAAATATTTTAAAATAAATACTCAATAATGGACATAGATAAGACAAAATACTTCAGTTTTAGTTCCAAGATCAAGTGTTTGTTGACTAAATCCATTTAAAGTTACTTTGTGCCGGAGTCTTACTCGAGCTGTTTGCTGTTACAACTCCTCCGAGTTGAGCCTGAGGAGTCATGCATGGCATGACTGTACAAACAAAGGCGTTCACATTTCTCTGTTTCACACTCTCGAGGGCCAACTTATGTGTTCTTCTGTTAACTGTCTCATATTTCTGTAAACAGAGAATAGAAACCCTGTGTTTCCTGTGATGATGTCGACTGAACCAAAGTTTCGTCCCTTGTCGTGTAAAGTCTCAATGGAAGGAAACAAAGTTCACTCGTGTGACTTTTTCAGAGAGATTTTGCAAATGCACAACTCAGAGCTGACAGTGTTTGATGTCACTCAGGAAGTGTCTTATTAATGTTTTGCTAAGGTTATCTTAATTATGAGGTGCAGGGACTCTAGGCTTTAGCATAACAGAGCAAATTGTCACCACGGTGTCTCTTCTACGTGTGTTTAGTTTAAAGCAGTTGTTTTATTCTTTGATGGTAATACCTTGTTGTGTATCATAACATGGAAGTACAATGATAACTGGCTCATCTGTCTCCATAATTAACTTCTCATTAATTCTCACTTCCCCAAACCTGTGGTGACAATTGCTTTGTTATGCTAAAGCCCAGAGCCTCTGCACCTCATAATTAACTTAATCTTAGCAAATGCATATGCCAATGTTTGCAGCAGCATTAGAGCAGATAAGCAGACGGATACGACTGGACCACCAGTTGGGGGAGTGGTTTTATTTAAGGTCTTAAATCAGAATATCAAACTGAGCAGCTGCAGTAGAAGATGCGTCTTTGGCACCATCTTTGTCCGCTTTCTCCTATACATGTGAGTTCATGTCAACAACCCATCTCTCACTGTGTTCCATGTCGTCAGCCTGACTGTGCCCACTAAAACAGCACCAGTGGGTTCGAACCCCTTCGAGGAAGAGGAGGAGGAGGAGGAAGAAGAGGAAATTGCTGTGGAGCAGCAGACCACAATCAACCACATCAGTGTGGATAAAGAGGAAATAAAAATGTTGGTGAACAAGGGGGCAAACACTCAGCCAACCCACAAACTTCTCACCTCCTCTTTTCTCTGTTTCTGCTCAGTGGTTTGCCGTCCACTCCTCGGCTCCTTTACTTTGTTCCCTTCTTTCTTGTGTCCCCTTTTTCTCCTCCAGGTGGCAGGTTGTTGTGTTGCTTTGCATGGTCACTGGAATGACACTGCACACAAAGTCAGTGTGTGTCTGTCCTTCACCTTTAACAGTGCCATTTTTTGAGGAACATAGCGTGTGTGTGTGTGTTTCTGTCTTACAGTCAGATCTGAATATGCACTCATATACACTTTATACTGGGTGTTAATGTTTTCTCATTGTTGCTAGATAATTAAAACACAGTATAACATTAAAAAAAAGACACAAACAAATATATAAAAGCTTCAACCTGTTAAAATATCATTCAGCCTCTTTATATTAAATTGTAAAGGGTGAACAGTACATGTTGCAGCTGTGACCAGGTCTGACTGTAAATCATTTGTGTGTATGCTGGTGTGTATTTACTGTTCTACAACTTCTGTGTCTGTCAAAGCCAAAATCTCTTTTTGGTGTTCAAGTGGCTCCCCCTACTGGCCATTCAGGTCAAACTCCAATCATGCATTCTCCACTATGATTTGCGTTGTTGCTTGTTACTGTACTTTTCATGTGTCTTCTGATGTGTTGTCATGTTGGTTTTGTTGCATCGCCTTTACCGTAGCATTGTGTGCACTTTCACTTTTAGCTTTTGATTTTGAAGTGGTAACTTTTGAATCATGTTGCCTGACAAACACAAAGCTTGCCTTGTAGCACTGATGTCATACAAAAGCATGTTTCCCACTCGAGTTTGTTTTCAGGATGAATCACAAAGATCTCCGTGGATTCCAAGAAACTCATTTCTGTGTTTTAACATGACTTTACTTGTTTATTTTTCTTGCTTTTCTAACATTGAACTTTTGCTCCTGCTTACGCCTGGCATGCTGGGTTGTCCTGTCCATCTATGAGGCCCTGACATTTAAAGGAGTTTCTAAGTGTCTGTCTTGTCTTTTGTCCAGTGTGAGCAGTATGGAGAAGACTCCAGACTGGTCAGATGAGGACACAGGAAGTAACCCATTCTCCGCCAATGGTGAAGGGAACCCATTCGAGGAAGAACCCGCTTCTGCGGTTGTATCTGTGCCTGTCAGAGCCCTCTACGACTATGAAGGGCAGGAGCAGGACGAGCTGAGCTTCCAAGCAGGTATGGAGCCGAGATGGAGTGAAAGATTCTGAAAGAAACCAGAGACTACAAAAACGTTTTTAAATACAAGTATTGATCTGTGTCTTTCTGCTTTTCCAGGGGATGAATTAACCAAAATTGGCGATGAAGACGATCAGGGTTGGTGCAAAGGCCAGCTCAAGGATGGAAAAACGGGCCTATATCCTGCTAACTATGTGGAGGCCATCCAGTAGTGGATTGTCACAGATGAAACAAATGTGAAGAAAGTGGTTTGTTAAGAAATGACAGTGCGGCTGGAAAAGGAAAAGGCTCTGCCTCATTTTCAACCCTTCTCTCCCTGTTGATGGAGACTGGACCGAAGCAGGAGAAGTACGGAGAGGAGAGGATGCAGATTATAACAGGACCACTTGACTTTTTTTTTGCTTTGACCCGTTGTAGTAAAGTGCTAAGGTGGAGATTAACCTCCAGTTTCCAGATGATTCCAGGCGAGGAAGAAAAAAAAAGCAGTCAGCGTAAAAATATGTTACTTAAAATCCCATTTATGCTGTTACAAAAATAATAGATATTCAAGTATATATATATATATGTTAGATAAAACTCAAAGAACTTTGTGTGAATTTATATATTGTTTTAATGAAACACTGGGATGACTCCGACAAATCGTCTTGTGATGTTAACCATGCAGCCTTAATATGCAAGCCACTGTGGATTCATTAAGGGAGACGACCCTTTTTATAACTCTGATTAACCATGTCTGTGAATAAGATTCACAAATAAATATTTCAAGAAACTTTTGGACAAAATAGGCCCTTATATCGAGAGTATTGAGTCAGATTTCACTTCATTCTGTCGTTCCTTTCAGGGTTTTCCGTTAAAATGTCGGGGTTGTTTTTTTATAAGGAATGACAACAACATTACCCTCACACAGTCCTCATTTAGCTCACAGTGGGCAGGTTTTCCTCGAGTCACTGCGATTGAATGTATATTCACTGATTGTATTTCTTCACCTGTTCATCGTTCACTATTGCTGATGCTGGGTTTTCGCAATCACTCACACCTTGAACAACTATCCACCCAAATATCTCCTCTCTGTCGCAGACTGTAATACCATACGTTTTTATTTCCACTCGACACTGAAAGATTTTCTCACTTGAATCTGCCATGTTTAAGTTCTCTCACTTGTCAAATACACAGTTATGGGAGAGTGTTTTAATGTTCTTTGTTTGACAATATATTACAAGTTATAACAACAAAGCCACAGCCGAGGGTGGTTTCCATATGTGCATGTAAATAGCCTGGATTAAACAAACCTAAAGTCAGCATCAGATGATATGTAGTTGGAAATTGATGATTGTTAATTTATGATGCCACAAGTGCTTTTGTTCTACTCTTGTTAGAATGCTGTGACTGAGAATCAGTTTGTACGTTAATTGAATCTGCCATTTTGTTTTGTTTGTAAATATGACTCTGTTTTTCACCCCTTCGTAGAGGGTTATATTCACGGAGTAAATCGACAAATACTTTGTGAATAATGGTTGATTTTCTCCGAGGAGCTATGACATGAATGGACGTACCTGATTTCATAACCTTAATACATGTTTGGTTTAAGTAATTCTGTCTGCTTGAGTTTTTTTGTAGAGCTGAGCTGCAGGCGTTTCTCTTGTGCAAGCTCTAAATTCATTAACTGCCTAATGTTTTGATGAAATCACTGAAATATGCTATTTGATGCCCTCAACTGCAGCACAAGAGGAAGATGATTATTTTTTTGTCTTTAATAATAGAGAGAAAGGAGACGTTTTCCACATTATCAGGGCATGTTGTCGTCAACACGCAGCAACAGCTGTACTTGCACAGTAAGGTTTGTCAATGTTGTCTCACAACATAATAAATGACTTAAAATACTTAAATGTGTCCTGAGTGCTGGGGTTTATTGCGGGAGTCTTTTTATGTGTGTTGTGATTCTCCCAATCATGAAAAAGCAGATCTATGAGTCAGTAGCTGAGGTATAGGCATATATTTAATTGTGCTTTACATTACATCGATGTACAAATAAAAAAACAGCTCTTCAGTAAAGTATGGAGTAAAGTATGTAGTAGCTAATATATAATAACAATCAACACTATTCTCATGTTTAGAACATTTAAATTGTTTTGTATGTTTTTTATCTTTGGTTCTAAATGAACATGGAGTCATATTAAATGCTGATAAATGCGTTAAAACTAAAGAAAAGTAAATGACAAAACTTCTAAAATACTTATTTCAGAATTGTTTAGTCAGCTGCGCTGCAGACGTCGAGGAGAACTACGTTACCCAGAAGCCCCGGCGACAACAACACAACCACGGGGCGTTCTCGTCCAATCAGCGGCGGGACGTGATGTTTCAGCACCGACGTGTCGCACTGACTTTTTAACCGTGTCGCTCTCCACATGTAAACGTCACTCGTGTGTTCAGCGGGTGAAGAAGCGACAGACGACAACAACAACAACAACAACAACAACAACAACAATGTCCGAACCCGCTAAACAGGACATCTCCGCCATTTTCAAGCGGCTCCGCTCCGTCCCCCCCAACAAGGTGAGTTCTCTCTCAACGAGGAAGTTCGAGGCGCTGACACGTCGCACTGAGACCAACACCGGGGTGGAACCTCCACGACCCCGCTTCTCACCCGGCTAACGTCGTGTTGTGAGAGAAGTTGGTTTGGGTTGAACTCAAACCTCCGGTAACGTTTCCTCGAGAGTCACCGAGAGAAACTGCGAGAGAACTGTCGCCCGGGACGTAGCGTTAGCTTGGTGGCTACCTGCCGAGCTAACTAGCTTCAGTTTGACAGTTGACATCGTTTTGTTTGCGAACAGCTCCCTCGTCACTTCCTCTGTGAAGATGTTTTTATCACCGTTGACGCCATCGTGTAGGATCATGACAAAGAGCGCGAGTTCACTTCGCAGTCCCAGTTCACGAACAGCTGTTTGATCCAGATGCTAATTCCACCCCCGACACAGTGGATTGGTTTATCAGTGAAATCAAAGGTGAGGCTTCAAAATGTCAACCCCTCTGTAAAAAAAAAAAAAAAAGAAGACAGATCACCGGAACAAAGGAGAATTCATCATCACCACTGTGCAGATGGAAGAGAGGCTGAAGTGTTTGAGTCCACAAAACACTTCTGGAGTTTCAGGGGTAGTTCACAGAGTTGCAGCCAAACAGTTGAAGTAAATGGTGATTGATTCTTCAAACATGTAAAAACAACAATCAGGAAATGCCTCCACGCTGCTCCTGTGGTGTCATCCAAGTATTCAGAAGCCCCGACGTTCAAAATCAACTCATAACTGCGACATTTACACTTTTTTTTAGCCTAAATTTTTAGTTGTTTATGAATTACTGGGCTTCCGGACACTGGGACGACACCACAGGAGCAGCATGGAGGCATTTTCTGTTGTTTCTACATGTTTGAAGAATTGGTCACCATTGACTTCAGGTGTGTTTGATTCGGCTGCGACTCTGTTTCCACATGAAACTCCAGAAATGTGTTGTGGTGAGTGAATTCTCATTTGTTTGGGTGAACTGCACCTTTAAAAACCGAGGGGTCGACATTTACATATTTCACTCCTGAATTCACTGAGTTTTAAACCAATAGACTGCGTCAGGAGGGAAATTAGCAGCTGGTTAAACAGCTGTTTGTTAACTGGGCTGTGAAGTGAACTCACTTTCTTTGTAATGATTCTACACGATGTAGAATAGTGGTGAGTAGTATAATGAGTGAATTCTAATTTTTGGGTGAACTATCCCTTTAAGTGTTGAGCTGAAGCTTCTTGTATCTTTCTTCATCTCTTCAAACAGGTTTGCTTCGACTGTGCAGCTAAAAACCCCAGCTGGGCCAGCATCACCTACGGTGTGTTCCTGTGCATAGACTGCTCAGGGACCCACAGGTCTCTGGGGGTGCACCTGAGCTTTATCAGGTAAGTCAGGACTTTTTCATGAAGCTTTTTTTCGGAACAAAATTCAACAACACAGATTTCAACAGGAGTAAATTCTCAAAAGAAAATGTTTGTCTGACATTTGAATGTGTCTAAATTGGATAAAACAATCGCGCGGATCTCTTAACACGAGCAGAACGTGGTTTAGTTAGAGTTGTAGCTTGTCCCTGTGCTATCGCATGTTCTTGAACCCCTACCCTTACTGTATTTCACAGATCTACGGAGCTGGACTTCAATTGGTCTTGGTACCAGCTGAGATGTATGCAAGTGGGAGGAAATGCCAGTGCGGTGGGTACTCAAGGGCAAATATCAGCAGGCTGTAATTCCGGCATTATGTGACACTCACATGATTCGATGTTGTGACTCCTGTTTGCTCACTCCCCTGTTTGCTTTGACCTTCCTATGGCAGATTTCTTATTTCAGTCAACATGGGTGCACAACCAGCGCTGCCAACGCCAAGTACAACAGCCGAGCTGCTCAGCTGTACAGAGAGAAGATAAAGAATTTAGCCACACAAGCCACCAGACGCCACGGCACTGAGGTAAAATAAGGATAAATGAATGAGTGAGAGAAGACTTGAGCTGAGTCCACACCTGGTAAAACATTTCATTTGCTTATCACACACTCACAGTTTTTTCTTCCTCTCCACAGCTGTGGCTTGATAGTCAGGCTCCTCTCTCTCCGACGTCACCAGAGGACAAGCAGGTGGATTTCTTCAGTCTGCATTCACTGGTAAAGGGGTGCACTTGGACTTGCCTAGGTGTGATTGTATCCACATGTATTTGTTCGTTGGACAGATTTGGTCATTTCATCAAGTGCGTCTGTTCAATTCCCAGGATGTTCCGGAAAACTTGAATACGGCCAAAATGAATCTGAGCTCCTCCACATCGGAGAACAGTGTAACCCTGGAAAAAGATGAAGAGAAAAATGGTATTCACTGTTTCTTCTCAACTGTGTAACACGTTGAAACATCACAAAAGCACAACAGTTGTATTTATCCCAACACATCTTATTTTCAGGTAATACAGAGGAGGGTCCAAGCGTGGAATCTCTGAGTGTTTCTCCAAAAGCAAATCCAGGTTTGTCATCAAGTTTTGGCTTCAGGATCTTGTTTTTGTATTTGTATTATGACTAAACTGCATGAGATGTAACTAAGCCGTCCTTCAATCTTTCCAGAGCCGTCCTCTCTTTTTAAGAAGAAGCCCTCCGCTGCCAAGAAAACGGTATGTACACCGCAGTATTTTGTAAGTAGACTCATTGTATTACTGCTTATTTGACAATGTGTATTTAAAATCAATTTTTTAACGTGTTTGCTTGAAGTTGGCCTCTAAGAAGGGCGGTCTGGGCGCTCACAAGGTCAGCAACCTGAGTTTCTCAGAGCTGGAGAAGAAAGCTCAAGCTGCCGATAAGATGAGAGAGAAAGAAGACAGCGCTGTGAGCTCGAAGAAGAATATTCAACCCGAGCAATCGATGTACGTAAATGTTTTTATTATAATGTGTCATTTTTTTTGTGATTATCTATTTATCTAATGAAGCAAATCTTTCTGCAGCTTCCATGAGAATGTCAGAGGTGAGCTTCTAATTTTAAATCACCTGTTTCTGTTTCTCCTCATTTTTAAACTTGTCCTCCTCCTCTCAGCACTCCATCGCTGCGACTGGCCTATAAAGATTTTGAGCAGCAGAGGAAAATGGAGGACCAGAAGCTGAAGGGATTAGAGGGGAAGAAGAAGGAGCAAGCTGAGAGACTGGGCATGGGCTTAGGCATGAGGAGGTTCGTTAATGATGATGATGAAGATGATGAAGAGAAAAACACTCACGATCCTGTACCTGGTTAAAGAATTCTTTTGTCATTTTCTCACATGGCCACTGTGTCTCCGCTCGTCTCTGTAGTGGAGTTTCACATTCTGTGACCTCGGACATGCACATCATCGAGCAGGAGAACACACTGGGCTCAAGGACCACCAGAGGTCGGCGGCTCATTGAGCAAGAGGATGATGAAGGATCCTTCACCTCCAGGTCAGATGAGCGACGACCATCTCCAGCTTTTAGTGATTTAATTTGAATTTTTTTACCAGAAATTGACGTGAACTTGCTCTTTCTTCAGGTCTGTGTCCCGGTTTGAGGATCAAACAGAACCTTCTGATAATTTCACTTCAAAGTGGGATGATTGTGTCGAGGAAGGAGGCTGGATGAAGGTGACCAAGAAACCAGAGCCAGATTTCTACTTGTCCTCCACCATAACTTCACTTGACGACAGGTAGGAGACAGTGAACCATGACTTGTGCTCATTGTTGTTTTCACCCTGTTTGTGTGTCTGTGAGTGTGTGTGTGTGATGAGTAACCTTTTTTGTGATCTCAGTGATTTTTTTAGAATATCACAATAATGGTTGATGCTCTAATTGATTGGATTATACATTTTTAATTTCTTCAATTTAGCCGACACGCAGCCAGGAGGAAACCAGAACCATTGCCAGTGTCGGACATGGGAGAAGCTCGTAAAAAGTTTGGAGATGTCAAAGCAATCTCCTCTGACATGTACTTTGGAAAACAAAACGACTCTGAGGTACACTTTATATGTTATAAATGGAATATATTGAATATTATATACGTACAGCTACATGTCTAATCATGGATTGAACTAGTGAGAATATTTATTTAGAAGAGTAGTAAACCTTTGAAAAGAGCTGTAGACCTTTTACGGTTCTTAATATTAAAGTGTCCAAAATGTTGGACCCAGTCTGAGACTGATCTCTGGAAATCAAACCTTTTCTTTTGCTGTGACTATGACGTACCCCTGGATCAGAACCGGCATATTTCACATCCACTCCGGTATTAGACATAAAGACCAACACTTAGGTTCCTTGGTTCCACGGAACCAACTGAACCTGTGACGTTGTTATTATCAATATGTGTTTCAGAAAAATCACTGCTGGAAACATTTCAAACTTTGTCTGTGTTTCTGTTTCTTCAGTATGAGGCCAAAACCCGACTGGAAAGATTAGCTGGGAGTGCGTCTATAAGTTCAGCAGACCTCTTTGATGAGCCAAAGAAACAGACTGGTAACGCACATCATCGCTTCAACATCTCTGCACATGATTCACTCACTATTCAAACGTGTTATCCATGAATAAAAGCATGTGTGTATGATGACCTCATGACTAAAGACAGCATGGATTAATATGAGTCTGTGTTTTCCTGTGCACACAGCGAGTTCATACAGTCTGACCAACGTGCTGCCCAACGCTCCGGACATGTCGCAGCTCAGACTGGGAGTGCGCTCAGTCGCAGGAAAACTCTCGGTCATGGCCAGCGGCGTAGTCAACTCAATCCAGGTCAGTCAGAAATACAGCACTTGAATCCAACCATGCAATGAATAGATTTCATTTCTAATATATATTATTTCCTTTTTCCTAGGATCACTACAGTTCCTGAGTCAGGATGTGTCTCCTCTTGCATGCAGCAGGTGTAGTCGGCGTCGACACAACAGGAGTATGATGATTTACCCGGTGAGAGACGGATAAAGATCAGCTCTTTGAGCAAATCTCTGCTTTGATGCATCAAAATCTGGCCCTAAAATGACCCCGTATACATTTACATCTGTTTTTCCTTCTCAGATAATGTGATAGAGCTGGTGTTAGAATCAGATGACTGAAGCACAATATTTGCTCATCTGCAGACATCTTGAAGTGAGATTTCTGAGTCAAGTGAAACCATGAGGAATATTTCGTTTGCATCATATTACTTGTTTTGATTTGTGGTTTTGGGGGTTTACATACTTAAAAATACTTTATGTAGCAGTTGGGAGATTTCTGGTGTTATGAAAGAAGGGTTTACTTTTGGATTTCTATAGTTGATGAGGTCAAAACCTAAACAGCAGAGACAATTCAGTTGGAAAGACTTAATTGATTAATGCACTTTCACTCATCACACGCACTATGCAGTGTGCTCTTGTACTTTAATTTGTGAAATCTTGCACATTCCCAGTTTGAAAGTGTCCTTTTCCGTCCCCGAAGTGTACTTACGTTTGCTCTTCCACAGGCACAACCAAAAGCTGATAATGAGGCCTTGTGGGGACCAGATATATGTTTCTTAATTGAGGACGATATCAGTTATGGAAATTGGTATTGATCTAATTAGCAGATAAGATTCATTTTCCTGCAAGTAGCCACGTTTTTCTCTTCTTTTTTTTTTGTGTAGGTCGTGCATCCGTAGTATAAAAAGGACAAGATGGCATTGAGGATAAGCAGCTAAAAACGTTTAAAGGAAAAGCTGATGTTTTGGGAAGTGCACATATTTGTTTTTGCCTAGAGTTTGATGCCACTTTTGTAGATATGCATTTTCTTGTTAGTAGGCAAAGTTAGCTAATCGTCTTTCTCTCACCGAGAAAACAACAAAGACTTTATCCCAAAATGTCAAATATTTCCATTAAAGGAGAGATATTCTGCTTATGTTTTTTCACCACGTGTCAGCGGTATAAAGGGAGCTCATCTCCCCCGAGAAAACACTGACGCTCCTGAAACGACTCGTCAGTAGTTTGTCTGAAATGAGCGTCCGGCTCGGGGCTGCAGTTTTCTGTCAGAACACGACCGAAAATTTGCAAATCGACCTGAATACGACAAGCGTTCTGTTTTTTGTGGCCAAACCCAACTCAAGCCTGATGCTTTCCCCCAGTTACAAGCTCATGCCGTTGGCTGGAAGCGGTTCACCAATCACAACAGAGTTGGCCAATCAGAGCAAACTGAGCTTCATCAGGAGGAGGGGCCTTAAAGAGACAGGAGATAAAACCAAGTGTTTCAGACAGAGGCTGAAAAAAGAGCTGCAGCAGTGGAAAGTTTGAGGGAAGTGATTTGTCTTCTGAACATTAGAGCATTTATACATTTACAAGAGCAGAATATTTCTCCTTTTAAAATACTACTTATTAAAGTTATTTCTTTATTAATCTTAATTCATATTTTGCAATCTCGAATATGGTCACCATGGTGACACGTATATGTATATATAGAGATTTATTTTCGATGTGGAGGGTCTTGATGATGTTTGGTTTGAAAATTGTGTTTTGGTCGTCTGCGGTGGATTCCTGTTTTCCCCTCTGGGCAGATTATTTAGTGGCACGCAGATTCTTGAAGGGTAAAATGTCCTGATGCTGTTTGACATGTTTGTAGCTTTCAGCCCCTAATATAAAGATACACATGTCCACTTAAAAACATGAATGTAAACCGTACCTTTAAAGCCTTCAAAGTTAAATTATGTTGTTGCTGCAACAAGCCAAGGTCCAAGTGATATATTTTGATACATCAAAAATAACCGAGGCAGTGATGAAGCACTTATAGTTTGAGAAGTGATTCTTAAAGTTTGATTATGGATTTGATATTTAAAAGCAATAGAGAAGCAGATTGAAGTCTGTTTAAAGTGTGGTATTTAAAAAAATACAGCTTTTACCTGAAGTCTACTCACGAGTTCAAGCTCTAGTGTTTCTGACGCCCACACTGGGAACAGGATGCATTATTACTGATTACTTCACTGTACTGTTCATGCTTCTCAGGAGTAAAATAATAATGAAACACTATGAAGCACTAAAAGAGTTTCACGTCCTTCAATGACCAAATATTTGTTTACTCCATCACTGTATGCCTTAGACCAAAGATCTCTGAAGCATAACGGCTTAAATTTGCAAGAGCATGAAGTCCTCTCGACCTTTTTTTTTTTTTGCACATAATTTGGTAAAAAATTGCACGTGGCAGCTTTTGCTTGAATGTACCGAACCTTTGCCTCTATAAGTTGATGCTGCGTCCGTGCTGAACTTGAGTTTTGCTTTTGTTTGTAAGTTTGTGTCTTCTGCTGTGGAATATTGTTAAATGTTACATAAAAGAGTAGCAGCTTGTGCATGTTTGCCCCCTCGTAGTTATTTTATCACCCGGACACATCCTGAGTACTCGATGGTGTTCGGCGGTTGCAGCCCGTTCATTTAAACATTAATGGGGAAAAAAGAATCGCTCTATATTAACTGTAACGTAGGACTACTATGTTGTATATGGCTTTGAATGAGCATTTATAGAATATAGGATATTGATAATCAGATTTTGACAATTTTTGACATTTAAAATGTAAGTAACGTTTTTGGAAACATGCCAAATAAACAGCTGGCGTCTGAACTCCTCTGATTTATGATTTAAATGTGTTTTTCTCTGTGTCCTGTGTAACTGATGTGACATTCTGTGTGGTTTTTAAAATCACACAAGTTCATAGGTTGTAAAATTCAAATGTGTTTGAAGTGAATTATGACATTTAAACATTTCCTGATTAATTAAAGAATGTGTTGCAGCTCCACTTCCGGGAGAAAAGCTGGCAGCCGCCTACGTGGCTGGCTGAGGCGTTTGGGGGGCTTCCTGTGCTGTCGGGAAATATGACAATCACGACAGGAATTCAGGAACAATCCTGAAATTTGCAATTTTATCCTGAAACAGTTTGTCTCTTGAAGTCAAATAGTTTTCACTAGATAAATTGTGTACTTTTAAAA